TGTCAATTAATCCCTGTAGACAAAGTGTGATCGAATTCTGAAGATTCAAGATACTAGGCTACCTAAATGAAATGGTCAAATTCCAACATGGTTAACTTTGTTTCAAAGGTGAATTAGCTATACGTCTTTGCACTCAAGACAAAGCACTACTCCTTTTTTGTCCACCTCAGGAATCCCGCTTCGGAAGACCTGCAAACTGTGGAATTAAAAGCCAACCAAAATCTCGTTTTCCCCATTTTTCGCTTTTGATCGCTCTGCTTTCACCAAATATTACTTAGAGCTAAGAAGACAAATCAGGCTCCAAACAGTCCTATGGAATCTACAAGGTTTAGGCTATTGATTCACATAAATACTGTCCGCTAAAAATGTTTTTTGATATAGTTAGTGGGGTGCGGCACACCCCCTTAAAAGCTGCGGCTGCTGCAGCTTTTGAGGGGGTGCCGCACCCTTGCCTTCAAAATCCAGAAAGTGCTCCATTGCTAATATGAGTGTTGAGCACATAGCTTCTTCTTGCTACCTTGGAAATTTGGGGCCGAACGCCCCACCCATAAGAAAGTTATGGCCCCTTCAATATGTCCATTCAGATCAAAATCAGCCGTCAAATTACGTGTGATTGTAAATTGCAGTTACTGAAAATCGGGCGTACAACTCTTAGAAATCTGAAGACTCTCTATAAAAAGATGGTGTCCTCCAGAATGTCACACTTTGAGGTCCAGAGGTTAAGAGGAGGAAGAAGGGGTCGTTTGAGGGCTTTCATGAGAGGGGGGGGGGGGGTTTCGAAAGACTTGTGCCTGACCTCTTTCTCAACTCTGGTAATGCTATCTTAGGTACATAGTTCAGGGGGGGGGGGGTCTTATTAAGACAGCAATCAGGGGGGGGGTCGTAACCAGCGATCGTGTGCCACACCCCTTGCTTGACCCTGATTATAATTTTTTTCAGCAAGGGAGTGTGAGAACAAGGAAAGCATTATCAAAGTGCAGTTCTTACGCGCTTTCAGAAACTATAAAGGCTGCCAGGAAAGAAGTTATTTATTTGGTAGGTGAAGGTGGTTCTAGTCGTTTTTGGAATTACGGTTTTTTTAATGCTTGTAACTTTTTGTATAAAAAGCCAGTAGAACGCTAGCCACTCACTTGATTCGCCTCGCCCTCCGCTTTCAGAAAATGTTTAGAAATTGTGGAGAAAGATGTCAAAAAGACCTGGTGAAGGTGTCCTCTATGCCCTCTAAAAATGCCTTTCTAACCATAAGAAACTAAAGGAACATGTCCGTTATATCTTCGTCAAATACTTTAAGCATCCTTCTCCCCGCAACCTGCATATTTTCTGGAAGCGGACTTGAGACAAATTCCATGAGTGGCTAACGGTCTTCTTTTTCATTTGAAAAAGTTACGAGCATTGTTATTTAGAAAATTCTCTGATACCAGGAAAAGGACAACAATCACCTTTACCCAATAGAAATTTTTTTCCAGGAATATAGTTCCTAAAAGCGCACAAGAACTGCATTCTGAAAGTGCCTTTCTTACCCTATACTCTTTTGAGATATGTCATAATTATTTTTACTTTATGCTGACATAAATAACACGCACCGTTTTTCAGCTATAGTGCATGTCACCTCATACTAGCCTTATGTCCTATAAATCTTCTGAAAGCAGATGACGATGCGAGTTCAATGCATGGCAAAAGGGTTTTCTAACTTTCATATAGATAAGTGTTGGGTCCTCGACTTCGGACACTTCGACTCTTCGTCCTGTAGGGCACAGAAGGAAGCCGATGAATTTATTAGAGAAATAATAGAGAATTAAACATGAGACAAATGATGAGAACTGAACTGAACTGAACACTGAGGCAAAGAGTGAGCGCCTTTTATAGCGCTCAATTCCCGCGCAGTCTGAGGCTAAGATCGAATGCGCGAGGGCAGATCACTACGAGGAAAACAGCTGATCATTTACGATCATTAACACAACAAAAAGTACCTATTAAACATGTTCATGAAAAAAATCCTATAATTGCGGATCTGAAAGCGCTGGAAAATTAGACAATGATTATGCCTTTGTTGTCTCTATATCCTCCTCTTAGAAAACTTTAGCATTTTCATCTTATAACGGTGTAAATACGTGCACCATTTGCACTGGTTGTACTGCCTGTTACTTCATACAATCTGTACATAATCTCCAGACAACGAGCCTGATTCCCCCCCCCCCAGAACCCTATGACCACCTTCACTCCGAGGAAGCCATGTTTCCCCTTAATAAAACGCCAGTAGCGTACCCTGGATTTCCGTTCGGGGGGGGGGGGGGGACAAAAAAATTTTTGGTGAAGGTCACCCAAAAATTTTTGGTACCTTTCTCACAGTTTTCGCGGGCCTATAACCCCAAAATTTTTCAAAAAGTGGGCGTGGCGTCAGCCACGCCCTCGAAAAAAAAATTTCTAAGGCCAAATTAAATTTTTAAAAAATTTCAAAAATTATCATAATTTCTTTTTAAGAATGAACAAGCCTCTTGCACATTTTTAAAACTCATATAAGTAAGTACCTATCAAAAATTTCGCGACCCATTCTCGGGGGGGGGAGGGGGGGAGGCCTCGGTACGCCACTGTTGCACGCATGACCCGAACCAGACCAGCATCATCAATGCTACTCCCAACATTAGCAGCTGATAAACTGCAAGAATTCTTTCCATGAAAACGTGGAAAAGAGGAAGTCGCAACGAGAAGTACTTCTACAGGTTTGCTGTGAAAGACTTTGACGCAAAATCAAAAGGCCACTAGATGAGGAATGTAGGATAGGAAAGTTTGAACTTGGCAGGAACGAAAACGGTAACCGTCTCGTTGGTGGTTTCTTCGCTGCACGACTTTTCATGAAATTTCTATCCGCACTACATGGAAGGAATCGCGCGAAGAGCAAAGACATTTTCACCAACCAAGGTGAAGCTCGATATCTCAGTAGTTCCACCGCTCTGCCATGGCTCCGATCATCGCCGCCTCCACGGGGGGGGTGGTTCCCAAAGATCTTGAAGAGGACGCTACCGCAGGAAACGGAGGTACCACACAGCTTACCTCCTTAGGCCCCGGTCAGACTTCACGCGACTTAATCATCGCGATTCAATCGCCAAGATTTCCATTCATTTTCATTTCACATTCAAAAATTTCGGGCTGGAAAAGTATCACAACCGAATGAAAGTGATCAGCATGGAATGATGTTGTAACAGTTGTCTCCTCGCGATTCAGTCGCGACGAACAAAACGCGTGAAGTCTGCCCGGGGCCTTAAAAGTTGACAAGTTTCAGGCTTTCAAGCCGGCTACCCTCCGCCACAGATTTTTTCTTTTTGAGTAGTCCGCAAAGAGGCGATTGTTAATGCAAAGCTTCTTATTGTTAGCAAATTTCTTGAACATCTACCGATAGCCTAGGATGTCCTGCGTGTACGCATCCACCCACGAAGTTCACTTGACAATTAACTGTAAGATGACAGTGACTCCAGAGCGTGGCGGCAGCTCATGGTACCTTATGTAAGCTAGCAGTCACATTCGAACTATTATAGAATAGTCGAATATACAGGAAGTTATTTGATTAATCGAATAGTCGATTAGATGGAAAAGACCTTTATTCGAATGTTTGTTTTTCGACGAATCGAAAAACCACTTATTCGAAATTTCATTCGAATATTCGGATATTCGGGTAAATTATTTTATCGATTCGTCGAATGAACAAATAAACAAATATTCGAACAAATGTCTTTTCCATTTCTTCGAACTATTCTTGATCAAGTAAAGGCGCCTCCCGAATAGTCGACTTTTCTAGTTTGAATAAATCACCTGAATACGGATATTCACGTACTGTTCAAGCTAAGTGTAATGGTGGTTTGTCCGAGTGCCCAAGTTCAAGAATCCACATTTTCAGCGTTGTTGATGCTCTGACCAAGTGTAGACTCTAAGGTAGGCGCTAGACTGACCGTCCTGTTTCAGCAGGACGCGGCGCAATTGGTAAGCCGATGTCGTTTGGCCTCATGCTGGAAGGAAATAGAAGTGGATGTGATGTGATGTGATGTTCGCGACAACAGAAGTTTTGAAGAGATGATGAAAAAGCTTCGCAGAGCGAGAGAATGGAAAAGACCTTGCATTTGAAGGTTTTTGCTGCAGCGAATCGCCCACTTCGACTTAAAGGCAGCGGCTCGGCAGAAGAGACCTACCTTAGATTTTGACACAGACGGATAGGAGGCCCTCCAAGTAAACCAAAAGAGCAACTCCGGGCCGAAAATGTGAATTCTGCAAGCCAGGGGGGCGGCCCATGCGTCGCTCCCCTTCCTCCTTTCGCTCCCCTAACACCTTGTTCGGACGAGTATTCTCCGCTAGACGGCGCAGGACCCCCAACCGCTTTCCCGCATTGTGCATGCTATACAAAGCCAAAATTACAGGCAGCAGGGTCTTCCTCAGACATTCGCAGTTGAGTCCCGCCGGTGAAAAAGTTGTGTCCCGCCGGAATGACTGCGGGACACAAGTAAAATGGTTCGCGAGAAAACCGGGACTCCCGGTTTTCGTTCGGGATAATGCGGCGCGACTCCCGGTTTTGTCCCGAACCTTCGGGAGTCCCGGTTTTCTCGCGATTCGGTCACCGGCGGGACTCCCGCTCTAACTGCAGTCTCCTGCGGGAGGCGCGATATAGCAGCGACCCGATCAGCTTCCGCCTGGGCTTTTTCTAGAATTGGTTCTCCTTCAAAAATTTACACTACACACATCTTACAAAGGTGCTGTGCTCGACACAGAGTTCAGAAAGACTCTTCATTAGCATTCGTGACCAAAAAAAGAACATTGAAATCATCATAACTAAGTTAACAGAAAAAAACAGGAATGTCGAGATCAAGATTTGACATTGAATCCATTATTCAAATCGACTTCAGACTTTCGATGTCTTCGTCTTGCTCATGCTCTGGCTCATTCGTGTGCTCGTGCGCCAAAGAATCTTGCGTTGTAGCGGGGCAAAAACGTTTTTTCTGGAAAAGAATTACAATTCAACACTGATTTGAGAAATCATATATGAATATTACCGAGGGTGGCGACAGCATCTCCTTTTCAGCATCGAAATGGTAGGCGCGCAGGTCACCTCTGAACTTCAAATTCAATAGATTCATGAAGACTATCTTTAAAAGAAACCCACAAAGCTCTTCCTATAGCCACTCGTGCTAATCCACAAAGCTTCATCCTCGCCTCCGACAACCTGTCAAACATCTTCGTCCTCGCCTCATCGTCGTTCCCTAGGCCCAGCCAAAATCTAAATCAATGAGATATCAAGGGGTAGAAACACTTCTATCTATACCTATTTGATTGCCGCGCGCATTCGCTAGCACTCATCAGCAGTTCTTCTGCGTATAGGCCAACACCATCAAGAACGAAATCTGGAAGATCTATTTTAGAATTTTTAGAGAGACCATCAATTACTCACTTATCAAAAATGTGACAAGACTTTCGGGCAGGTCCTGCAGATGCGGAAATCTTCCCCTTTTACCGGATTGTCTGCACGCAAAATTTTGGATTTCTTGTTTTGGTTCGCATGCCTAAGTGCACCTCTCTTCAGTATAGACTCGAAATTTTAGCCTCACTTACATGCAAAAAATAGACCACAAAACTCGTCACAAAGCGCCGCATACAAAATTAGGCATCGTCGTCAATGGGTTAAGTATTCAAATGTTACCGAAAATCATGCGAAAGTGCATCTAAAAATGGAAAGCTAGGCGCGGAATTGCAATCATAAGTATGAACTAGGATTAAAAGGTATCAAAAGATTTTGGGGTATGAATGGTAGTCTCCCAAAAAATCCAAAGACTTCGGACTTTTCGAGACTCACTTAAAAATACGAAAAACAGAACAAAAGAAAACCGACGTTGCGCAAGATGCCCCAAAGATTTCAACATCTTAAATTATCTTCAAATAATTAATAGAATATAATAGAATATCGGACGAAGGGGGACTCAGTGGAGAGTCAACGGCATAGATCCGCATAATCTTCTTTTCTGATTTCAAAAAATATTACTTTGTTTTCAAAAGAAGACATTGTTCAGGAATCTATAATTTAGCACCATGTAAGGATATTGACACCACCAGATATAAACGTGAAAAAATGATTAAAAACAAACAATAGTTGATTCTCACAAAACGAAGAGCAACACATTCGCGACTTTTACATCTTCACATGAAGTGTGCGACAAGCGCACTGAACTGGCACTAATAACGCCATAACATGACAGAAAAAAAAACAGCTGTTTGCGCAATACGACCACGGCGATGATGACAGATGGCAGATGTTCACAAACAAAAAACCAAAAATGCACAAAAAAGAGGTGAAAATACGGGAAAAAGAGAAAGCACTCATTGTAGTCGCCAAAACGTCATTTTCAGCTGTGGCGCAGATTTGACTGATCATCGGATCATTTGAAAGCGTTCCATGTTCGACACATGCCATTAACCAATAATGAATCGAACATGACAGATCCGGGTAAAGAAATGCTTTGGCGACGAACTTTGCGTGCGAGTCAATTAAGTGTGCCTATAACAACTCTATGAAAAGAGAAAAATACTGACTCCCAAAATCATTTCTTGCAGGTATCTCCGAGTTAAATCCGATGAACATGTACACCAAGAAACGAAACCAGCCTCCGAACACAACTGCCTCCGACGACGGCAAGAGCGTAAATGAAAACTGCTGCGGAACGGTGCTACTGCGGTGCAACATGTCACAACATGTTGGCGCGGCTAAGATGTTCTGTCAACATGTTGTGGCATGTTGCAAACATGTTACAAACACGTTGCCAACATGTTACCATGTTAGCTGGATGGTGAGATCGCGACTCCCGGTTTTCTCCCGCTTCATTTTTTGTGTCGGGATTGTCCCGAAATTCGGGACAAAACCGGGAGTCGCGCAAGACTCCCGGTTTTCTCGCGAAATCTCATTTTGTGGGCGGATCTCTGGCGGGACTTAACTGCGAATGTCTGAGTCGTGCCAGGGCCTCCCGACTCCCTTTTGAAAAAATTCTCGTCCGAGCTGCCTTTTGGAAATCGAAAAAAACGCCCCGAAAAAGGCTTTTTCACCCCTTTTAAAGCTCAGATTCGGGATCTACAGGTCGAGAAGGCCCAAAGCATGCAAAAAGATGGGAGTGCAAAATCTGCCGAGCCGCTGCCTTTAATTTTCCTACAACGGGACATCAGTGACGGTAACTGCGCCGCGCCCTGCTAAAGCAGGCAATCGCGTAGTCTGGCGCCTACCTAAGGCGCCAGACTAAGCGACTACTTTGTTCAGTTGCAAAAGGCAATTGTTGCCGAGAACTGTGAGGACTACAATAGCAAAGAATGCTCAAATCGTACAAACAGGAAACTTACTGGCTGTCGCGCTCTAATCACAATAGTGGCGGGTCTTGCGCGGAACATCGTACTCCAGTCCAAAACGCTTTCATTGGCAGATCCTAAATTTCTTGGAAAATTTTGTATTCTTGTCTTTCATTCAAAAGTATTGCCTTAATCACTGATATCCGATTGTTTTGGTAGTGGAATGAAGCATGTTTCAAAATGTGATGTGTGCGCTAGGGTGCATTCCTCATCTTGATATGGTCTGTTTGAAGAAGGTCGTTTTGAGTGTTCTTCGTTTTCCATCGCATGCAGCGATTCCTTTTCTAAGTTGAAAGAAAACTCAGAAAGGGAGTCAGTCAGCTGTTAAGATTCAGATTCTCTGCTACGCTTGAATCTGAGTTCGGAAGTTGTCTCGGTGGAGATCAATCTTGCGAATGTTTCTCTGCTAAATCCTCATCATTTGAAAAGTATATCGATATCCGTGGATTGGAAATCGAACTTGAAAATAGAGGATTGAAAATTAAAAGTATGAACATGTTGCCAGATAGTGTGCATCTTTCGTTGTTACGCCCTAGCTCTAGTATCACCTGTTCCGAGCAAAAGACTTGGTATGCTCTGCACGCATTATTCAAACTAACTTGAACTTGTCATTTTCCAGTGGTTTTGAGTAGTAAGTTTGAGATAATTTGCTAGCATGAACTTGTTAGAAACATGGACAAGCTTACCTAGACAAAGTAAAGCGTACTCGATTTCCCTAGTCTCAGAATGAATGGAGCATCCTCATACACAGCCGTTTTCACCGCCTACAACTTTCAGAACATGGGTGCCTACAAGTACATGCAGGAGATATGGCGCAAAAAGCAGTCTGATGCTATGCGCTATCTTCTCCGTATCCGTACATGGCAGTACAGGCAGCTTTCTGCTGTTCACCGAGTCAGTCGTCCCACCAGGCCTGAAAAGGCTCGTCGTATGGGTTATCGCGCTAAACAAGGTAGCTTTTTTTGTTATGTTTCATACTTTTTGCATCATCTTCCTTCGATTAGTTTCCCATTTACCTCATTACTGCCTTTCTTTACCTCTGGTTTTAACCCTTTTCGTAACAAAAACTAACTTATAAGGATTAAGATCTTGGTATATCTACCACCTTTCTTCCATTGGTGTATTCTGTCTTGTATTAGAGGATTTGACTGAACATAGCACCCAAGAAGCTCCAATTTTCGTACAGTGTTCGAACAGGGGAAGTGTCAGAAATCGCGATGTCCTTTTGACATGAGATGGGTACCACCCGAGCTCGAAACGCTGATTCCAAAAGAGCCTTTCTTAGCTACAAAACGAATCTTGGTCGGGAGTTATTGAATCTGATTTGCAGATACAACGCTGTGGGCTCTTGAACATAGATGAAACACACTTTATCAGCGCTCGTTGAAGTACTTGTCCTTCTTCAATGTTGAACTGTACTGTTTGAACAAGCATTTGAAGTTTGTTATGATCACTCGATACTCGAAGCAATGTATGTGGTAATTAAAATGCCATAACTTCCGTCCCAGACTCATTCTGCAGCTAAGGAAGGTGGTTTTGGAATTAGCGTTTTGAGCTGATTTAGATGATACCTATCTCACGTCCGAAGGGCACTGTGACTTCTGACACTTTCCTTGTAAGGTCTGCTGATGGCATGGAGCACTTGTCATTAGCCCTTCACATTTTAGGCTACGTAATCTACCGTGTTCGCGTCCGCCGCGGTAACCGCAAGCGTCCAGTCACCAAGGGTCAGACCTACGGAAAGCCCAAGACACATGGAGTAAACGAGCTCAAGTTTGCTCGGTCGAAGCAAGCCATTGCTGAGGTGAGTAACATATTGTTACTTTTATTCAGAATATTTGATAACTATAACTTTTCTATGAACAGTAGTTCTCAGTTTCCTCTTTTTTCACAATTGCTGTACCTTTTTCTTTTCGAGCTTTGGATTTTTTCCCAATATACTTTGAATTCTTTGTTGCTCGTGTAAGTCATATTCTAGTTTCATAAAAATGGGCGCTAGTGGCACGCATGTCTCTGAACTGGAAGAGTGTGCAGAACTGGGTGGTGTAGGCGTAATTTTCATTAAGACATATCCTAGCTTGTGTGTTCTGCGTTGTGTATCTCGGCACCAATCATACTTCCGGCTGATTCTTTACTCCCTGAGCTCTGCTCTGGTTGACTATCACGAAGACCTTGCATTTATGTGCGCATATTAGTTTGTAGATGTGTTGCAAAAACCAGAAATAATCTACATTAGAGTCCCAGATTACTCTTTAGCTCGCTTGTTGTTTTACGTCTTCCGCAGTATGAAAAAATTAGCTTAAATGTTGGGTGCAACTAGTACTTCCCTGTTCTGTCTTCATTGTTGCCTTCATCTCTGAAGGTGATTTTTCATGTTCATAGACCAATTTTATTGTGGAATCAATTCATGTTAGAATCTTGCTACATAAGCATCTGAGAGGACCTATTTATCTCTCGTTTTCGAAGATTCGATGTCTCTTCACAATCGTCTATAGCTATGATATGCTTCTGTCTATTTTTTCATGAATGGAGGTCTTTTCTTCAAATTGAATTTATTTTGGTGGTTTGTTGGGATATGGCCCAGAACATGTTAAGCACTCCGTATTTTTTGCATTTAGTAATGTTTTTGTAGACTGGAGTTCAACTATTATTCGAGATCATTTTCACAAAAATTTTTCATCATGCATTTTTGATGGTACTGACTGTTCAGGATCGTGCCGGACGTCGTCTCGGATCGCTTCGTGTGCTCAACTCATACTGGGTTGGAGAAGACTCCACTTACAAGTTCTACGAGGTCATCCTCATCGATCCCTTCCACAAGGCCATCCGCCGTAATCCGGATACTCAATGGATCACAAAGCCTGTACAGAAGCACCGCGAATTGCGTGGTCTCACCTCGGCCGGGAAGAAATCGCGAGGACTTGGAAAAGGATGGCGGTATTCAGCCACTCGTGGAGGTTCCCAAGCCAAAAACTGGAAGAGAAAGAATACCACTGTTTTCCGCAGATTCCGTTAAATTTATGCTTTTTTCTTGTTATTTTTGGTTCGTTGATTGTTATGTGTCATGCCGAAATAACAAGGTTGTTCATATTTATCATTTCACTGATAGGAAAGGGTTTGTCTTCTGGGTATTTGTTCGCTGCTTTGAGATTTAGACAAAGGTGTAAATACACAGGCTGGTTATTACTTCCTAATGCTCGTTGCGTGGAGGGCTTTGAGCACCGCAAGAATTGAAGGACCAGTAGCTATTTCGATACGCAAGAAATTAGAAGAGACTTTTGCGGTGCGTAAAGTGTGGAAGTTATTCTGTAACAGGCTTACAACATATAATTTAGCCTTCTCATCTAAAGGTTGTATGTGAAAGCTACATGCACAGGGTGCCTAAAGGGACTGAGAAGCATTTCCATGTTCAAATTGTCAGCGATAAATTTGAAGGATGCTCGGTCGTGCAGGTAATATCAGTAATATCAGTAGGAATTTCAAATCACAAGTAGATGAACAAAATATGGCGCAAGGTATCTACTATAGGTCAATATCCAGTCGGTTTTATTGTAATGTAACAATTTACATCCGTAGTAGGTCCTGGACGCTTTTTGACTCACTTTTTCAGTCATAAATACGCATAATAGGAGAGAAACTTCTGTTCCCTGATTGTGTTGTCTGATTGACTTGTTCAAGAGACATCGGATGGTGAACTCCTGTTTGGCCGATGAACTGGCTGGTCCCGTTCATGCGTTGAGGATCGACGCTATTCCACCGAGCAAATGGATTGGCCAAAAAAGTCAGCCTAGTCCTGGTTGTATGCACACTGGGCATCGAGCTAAGTCGGGTATCTGTAAATAGTGTAGTTTCTTTGCTTTCTTTTCGAATTTAATTCACAAGTAATGTAACCACATTAGCTTTCTCGAATAAACTTTGCATAGACATTGAAATGCCTCTCATCACACTCGCCTATACTTGCTCGACTTGTACTACAACGCTTGCTTCGCACTGTGCAGAATCAAGGAGTTTCAATGAATGCAGCGAAGTCAGACTGTTCTTCGTATGAAGACAGAAAGTAAGGCGGGTATTACCATTCATCTTGTACGCACACCTGTCCTGGCAGGCAAGCTCAGCTGTTTCACCATTAGATTAATACATAATGAATATGTTCTGGAGTGTATTTTCGAATGCCTGCAATCCAAAAGTGGTAACTCAAAGTGATTTGAAGCACAGTCAAACATATGATATGACGTCATTCGAAGTATGGCTTCTAGCATCTTAGCCAAAGGACAGTCCAAATACGATTTGCTTTGTTTGAACTTACCCTGCGCATTTTGCTCATAAACCTATCATTCATGAGTAAACGGTCCAAAACGTTGCTCTTCCTTTTTAGACCATAGACAGCAGTGATTCGCTCTGGTAGATATCGCGCTCCAATTCAGTGTTTATGCTGAGCATTTTTACAATTGTTCTTTGAAGTTTTCTTCGTTTTTTCAAAGCTTTCACTTTGTCTTTAAATATCTGCTGCGCAGCCTTTTTTTTCGGATGCACCTTATCGTGGCTTATATAGACTAAAAAGTCAATCTTCTTTGGTGTGAGGGACCTTGAAGATTTGTTAGTCGATATTGCCATAGATAACGTCAAGGTGGTTCTGAGACCTTGTTCTGCTTCTATATTTGTCCCAAATTTAGTGTTAAAACAGCTTCTAACGCAGTGATCTGCCGTCAATCTTTCTGTAAAGTTCCTATTCTTTGCAATATATCTATACATCAATTAAAGCCAGGCTTGGTCACAATAATGCGACCAAGAGAACTGAAAATATTACAAGTACATCTCCGTCTGGTCTTTGAAAGTCTTGCGATGTCAATGGGTTATGCTGTCACGCTCCTTTAGAAATGGCTATTGATGCCAACAACTTGGAGTACAAAAGGAACTGTCAAACTTCACCTTACAACACATTGACATATAACATCTGTGAGAACTAATTGCCCAAATTGTAAACAAACGTTCCGTTGCAAAAACATGTACATACAGTCTGTACCCTGATATTCTTCATCCTTTTATCCCACCATTATCGTTGGTTCTCATCGTCTGCGTGCATTCGGCTGCTTCAGCGTTCGGGATGAAATCATATAGGTCGATACTCTTTGATGCTCCGGGCTTGGAGAGCTATGAGCACGGCAACGGCTGAAGGACCAGTAGCTACCGTGATACGCAAAAAGTTGGAAGAGACTTTTTCGGTGTGTGAGATTTGGAAAACACACGTTTGTGTGAAGGTTACATGATCATTGTTTTAGCCTTCTCATCTGGAGATTCTATGTGAAAGCTACATGCACAATGTGCCTAAAGGAGCTGAAAAACATTTCCTCGTTCAAATCGTGAGTGATAAATTCGAAGGATGTCCAGTCATACAGGTAATGTCATGAGAGAATTGTAAGGCCCGTATGCACGTACATCCCCGCGGGGAGGGGAGGGGATCTGAGAGGGGAAGCGTCATATTTCGCTACCCTGTATATCTTTCTCTTCCTTCTTTAACTGGGATATGAAGGTTCCCATACCCTAATACGTGCGCATAATGGATGCCAGGTTACTGCAATACAAGATTAGATTTTCACAACTTTGTGTGATCCCCTGGGGATCCCCAGGAGATCACCTCTCATTTTCAAAGTCATTCATCTTCCTACAAATTCAATGAAAATGTTCTAATCTTGTGATGATGGTATAATATGGTACTGCTAAACATGTCTATGATAGAAATAAGGAAAATCTCAGGATATCGAAATTTTCGATGAACTGCTGCTCGCGAGCCAGGGATTATCGAAAAATTGTCAATCTTCAGATTCCTTTCTTCTGTCAAAAACATGCTTAGCAGTCCGTAGTATATCCTTAGTATCATCGGCTCCCAGATTCGTGTGGAGGTGGAGTGTTGCCAACTCACCGCGTGGCGGTTTTTGCTAGCGAGAGATTACGAAAAGCAATGCTATGGCGTGGAGGTTTAGCAAGTTTACATGTGTTATTAGGCAAAGTCTGCAATACACCTCCACACGAATCTGGGAGCCGATCATACAACTTTACGCATTTTCATGGAGTTTTCAGAAAGATGAATGACTTCGAAAATGAGAGGTGATCCCCTGGGGATCCCCAGGGGATCACACAAAGTTGTGAAAATTTTATCTTGTATGGCAATAACCTGGCATCCATTATGCAGGTATTAGGGTATGAGATCCTTCATATCACTCATAAAGAAGGAAGACGAAAGATATACAGAGTAGCGAAATATAACGCTTCCCCTCTCAGATCCCCTCCCCTCCCCGCGGGGATGTACGTGCATACGGGCCTAAAAGTACGACAAGGCGATAAAAGAGAAAATGTGATATCTATAAGCTGTCTCATTAGCGGTGTCACAGCCTCAGCGATTCGGGTCCAAGCGGCCACCTCACCCGGTTTTGGGTCCGCGAACGCGTCCTGTGGCTTCCAGCTGAGCAGCAGTTTTTGCGAAAACGCTCAACACGCTTGCGAAGGTAGGTGCCAGAGTAAGCGAATATTTTGTTCAGGTTGGGGTCCCGCGCAGAATGGACGTCACTAATCATGCTGGCGTCAATCCAAGTGACGTCAATTCTCCGCCGGATCCCAACGTGAACAATATTCGCTTACTCTGGCACCTACCGAAGCGACGCAAGACCGAGCGGGGCGGTCGTGAGGACCCGAGCCGCTGAGTATGGCATTATGAGACAGCTTATAGAGGAATTTTTTGCGTTCATTCTCCATCTCAAAAAGGCAGAACATGGCAGTAAAGTACAGAAAAGATAATTAGTCAACTTCGTTGGCAACTTACACCAATCTCTTCTCTTCAGCTCTTGAGTGCTCTGCTAAATTTGGAAAAAAATTCATCACTATAGTTTTCTAAGTATTGAATTATTCAAGAGGCATCGGATGGTGAACTCGTGTTTGGCCGAAGAACTCGCTGGTCCTGTCCATGCTCTAAGGATCGACGCAATTCCGCCGAGCAAATGGGTTGGCCAAAAAAGTCACGCCAGTCCTGCCTGTCGAGGAGGAAATGCACTATAGGCGCTGATCTAAATTCGCTCATTGTACATACAGCTGTTTGATTTCTTTGTTTATCAATAAATCTTGTAGTTTCAGAGTGTGCAACACAAGCGATGTAAAGACGACAGTAAAAGTGTGACGCTGCAATCAAATTCTAACGAATGATGTAAAGGCACCCTTTTTGTGTACTGACTGGAAGGTCACGACTCCTTTCAGAGAGTAATCAGCTCCTCTAGTAAATACAGTCTCATTTATTCACTAAATAAGAGACACGAGCACGCTCTGCGTACATTTGATTAACAAGTTCATGAGTGTGTTGTAACGCGTTTTGGTAAACCTGGTAAGAATTTTTAGAAGATTATTTTCAAACTTGCTTTGTTCAACAGACTCGAACATGTTCTTTCACGAATTCTAACATTAGCGAAACGCATTAGAATGCGCTCACAAACTTTGTTGTACGTACGCAAAGCGTGCTCGCGTGTCTCTTAGTCAGAAAATGAATGAAACACGGATTGTCCGCTAAAAAAGCACGTTATCCGAGGTCTTACACTTTTCCGCTGACTATGGCTCTAACGTGCAAAGTCATGCGTAGAAAATCTCATAAATTATCCCAGACAATCGCTCATCAGTAAGCGAAAGCAGATATCAGCGCTTCACGTATAGTGATTATCTATGTATCGTCCACTCCACGACTGCTGTACCCTTGCGTCTGTGACTTGCAGGACGCAGAACATGTTGGCAACATGCAGCAATATGTCAGCATAAACTCAGACAATCCGCAAACTACTTCCGGGGAAAACTGAACTTCAAAAATTTTTGGGGAAATACCCCTATTAGAGCTGCCAGATAGGGCGGGGCCCACCCACACGGCAGCTTCCACCCCGGAGGTTTTTGAAGTTCAGTTTTCCCCGGAAGGATTTCGCGGATTGTCTGAGAAGCTAACAAAATGTCTTGCCATGTTGTTGCATGTTGCAAGATGTTGTTCCATGTTTCTAATGTTGCCATGCATGCTCTGGCCAAAGACGCAAAGCAGGGGTAGCACCAACCATGAAATGAGAATCCCAGTACGAAAGGCATGGGCACCAAGATTTTTTGTTAGCCCATCTTCTGTGGATAGCATGTGAAACTACATCTCCTAGCTATAATAAGTTATTGCGATAGGTCAGTGAGTGCACTTGTTCAGCTAAATTTTTCGAATCATCAAAGTGCAGCACAAAAAATGTCACATGGTTGCCAGTTTCGAAATAGGGCGCGTCAGCAAGCAGTTACATCACGTCATTCTAATCAGCTGTGAGCTCGCGGAGCTGTTGCGCATTGTTATGACTTTCCACTGTTGGCTTTCCTTCTTCATTTCAGTGCGTCGAAAATTCTCAAACTAGGAATTTTTGTTCCGTAAGTGAGAACAGCAGTGGTTCTATTGATTTTTGGCAAGAAAAACAAGAGCTGCCTCTCTCTGTTTGTTTCTGTTTGAGTAATTGCTGACATCGAATTTTCGAGAATTTTTCTTTGGGTTTTTTGTCTTTTCACACTTGCAACACGTGACTGTCCACTTTTAAGAGTTTATGTAGCTGCTCAGTCGAAGAAGCTGTTCTTATTGCTCCGCTTGTCATATGCTACTACCTTTTCGCGATGTTTTGTAAGCATGTTCTAGAAATTGCTGGATAGCCGTGGTATTGTTGTTGCAAGCGTGTTCTAGAAATTCCTAGACAACCGTAGTAATGATCATCATATTCAAAACAAACGGATTGCCGATGACTGAAGTGTTCTGTAATTGTAAGCGATCTGATATACGCGTTCGTTTAAAGTTTTTAAATTCCTTAAAGGCCGGGCATACTTCACGCGATTTCAGTCGCGACGCGATTTGGCAATTCGCCAGAATTTTTCAGATTCAACACTAGCAAACTCTACATGCACAGTGTGTATAACTTACGTTAATTGATAAAATGCCGTATCTTCTGTATCGTCGATTCGTTGACCGCACGGACTGCGCAAACGCTGCGGACCACGCGCGGCGCGGCTGAATTGTCGCGAGAGCAGGACTTGTACGATAGTGAATTTGTACTGGGACGAGCGTTTCACCTCGCGGCGAGTGCTCCGCAGTGTTCTCCAATCCGTGCGGTCAACGAATCAACTATAAATTTAAAATGTGTTTACAGTAAGTTAAGGACAGTTGGAAATTTGCCAAATCGCGTCGCGACTGAAATCGCGTGAAGTGTGCCCGGCTATTTAGTTGCCTCATTTTTCTATACCGGTATTGCATCATATCAGTTTATATATAATCAGCTTATCACAGTCTCTCGCGTGTTTGTTCAAGGTTTCATCATTTCTCGTCCTTGCCTATACCACTCATTTTGTATGTTGTTTTAGTACAATGCTCTCGCGACTAGCTTTGCGACCTTCATTATTGCTTTCACCAAGTATCCGTCAGCTATCACAATCAGTTCTGAGATCAGCACGATTTGGAGAAGGTGGCGGTAGTAGCGGTTTTGGCAGAGTTACACAGCAAACCGTGAGTATATGAATTCTACCAGTTCGCAAATCTTTCATTGAACATCGTTTAATATCTCGCTGTTTCAGGGAATTGGAATCCGAGCAGGCAAAACTCTCAAGGAACGTCTTCTAGGTCCTACAACTGGAGCGCGTAAGTTTCATTATTTGTTTGTTTCGATTCACTTGTCACCATATTCCATTCGTTCTCCTATCTTCCCGTAATCTTAGCCTATATCTATGGAACGTATGCTCTTGCTGGAGCCTCACTGTTCGGTATCGGTGCATTGATGTATTATGGTCTCATATCGAAAGAACAATCTATACTTCAGTCGAGCGCGTGAGTAACAGTTTTTTGGATTATATGTTTACTTCAATTTCAAAAAGGTATTAGACTCTGAATTTCTTACCAAAGCACTTCCCATCACCATGACTTTTCATTGATTATGGTGCTTCGAATACACTATGTGATGAAATGATGAAATGTTCAAATTATGGTTTTGATGGATTAAGGGCGAGGCATACTTCACGCGACTTCAGTCGCGACGCGATTTGGCAGCTTGCCAGAAGTCTTCAGATCCAACATTAGCAAACTGCACTTGTATAGTGTGTATAACTTACGCGGATTGATAAAATGCCCTATCTTCCGTACATTCAGAAACCCCTTCCAGTGAGTTATGGACAGTTGCAATACTGCCATCGCGACTGAAATCGCAATCGCGTGAAGTATGCCCGGCCCTTTAGGTGGCTCAAGAATGCGGGCACGGGTTCTCAACGATTCGGAATCACAATCTTACATGTTGAAGCATTATTAAGAGACCCTTGTTTGCATTAGAGTTGTTAACCGTTCATTTTAGTCATTTAATAAATAAATACTGTATCTACTAAAGCGCCGATTGTAGCATTTTTTGCCTTGATTTTTGACCACAAAAAACTTTAGCAATTGGAAACTGAAGGTATTGTGATGTATGAGATCTGTGCTATTATCTTCATTCGGATTATCTGTACAACTTAAATAAGTTATCGTAGATGGAATATCAGATGTGATCATTTCCATTAAAATGGAAACTATTCTCGAACTAATCAGTGGTAGATTATATATTATGTGTATTTTAGTCTTTGGCCATCATATGTCCGTCAACGACTTCACTCTACCTATGCGTATCTTGCTGGAAGTTTGGCAGTTACGGCAGCTAGTGCAGTTGCTGCATCTCGTAGTGTGGCTATCATGCGTCTAACACAAGCTGGAGGAATTTGGGTAAGATTCCACGATTATTATATCGATTTTATTGCTTGCATTCATACAGAAAGTGTGTTTCAGGGTCTTTTCGCTACTCTCGGAGTCATCATTGGTACCGGCATGCTATGTGGTGCTATCGATTATGATAACACTCTCATGAAACATGCCGCTTGGATGCTCCATTGTGGTGGGTTTTTGATTTTCGTGTTTCCAACTGCTTTACAACTGTTTTTTCTGTCTCAGGAGCTATGGGAGCTGTGCTAGCTCCGATGGTTTACCTAGGTGGTCCTGTTATGATCCGCGCTGCATGGTACACTGCCGGTATCGTTGCTGGTAAGTGTTTTTTATTATACTTATATCATAGCTTGTTGATGATTGACTTTTTCTTGTAAATGAGTTACGTCATTTGCCGTTGAAAAGAGCAACATCCGGTATCATCTATGTTGTAGGCCTCTCAGCAACAGCCATCACAGCCCCATCTGAAAAGTTCCTCATGATGGGTGCACCGCTCGCTATGGGTCTGGGTGTTGTTTTCGCCGCCAACATCGGCACTTTCTTTTTCCATCCTGGAACTGCCCTTGGAGCTAGTAAGTTTTGAGATTTTAACTTCATTGTAAGACGTTCATTCCTTGTTTATAGGTCTTATGTCGATCATGATGTACGGAGGCTTGATTCTCTTCTCTGCATTCTTGCTTTATGATACACAGCGTGTAATAAAACTTGCACAAATCTATCCTCAACGTCATGAGACCATGATGTACGGAGTGCCTGAAATTCGAAGCTGGGATCCTATTAACGCGTAAGTTTGTTAACTCTCAAGTCGAAATGTCATCAAAATCGTAATAACAGAAACCGTTTTATGGTACTTTCCCCCAATCTACATACTTTTGCTCATTTCTTCGGAAAGCCTTCAAGTAATACACATAGTACCTGTCTCTTTGGGATGTTTCCCTAGGTATTACTTCAGCTCTTTGCCTTCCGATCTTTGACACGTTCACTTCGAGAAAACGTCTGAAACTAACATGTTAAAAAGGGCGAATGGCAGCGAGCTGACGTGGTACATACGGGAACATTTCTGGGGCCAGACGGTATCTTGACTCATCTTGATCCTCATCACATTCATCACCACAACTTAATAGCATATTTTCTTTTGAAATCGGCATGCTTGGGCAGTTGCGTAGAGATTACTAAATTGACAGGGCTCCTGTGTGTAATTGACGATGAAGTTCTATGGCCAAGTGGCCGCTCGAATAGCATGTGTGTCATCAAGTGTGGTACGAAATACCCACCACAAATCTGTTTTGCAGAAAGTTTTTTGGTGGATGTGTAATAACAAAGCTAAATGCTAGCTGACGAATGGTTACAAACCTCTAATTTTCTCTCTGGATAGGGAGCACAACTATTTGCGCCGTTTTGTTGTAACGAACAACTGTCATGCTGAACTGTTCTTAAAAATTGTCCGAGTGTTGCCAAACTCGGCATGTTGAAGACGCTTGTGGCTTATAGTAGTAATCTTTTATTCGACGAACGGCTATATTGCTTTCTTCAGAGTCTGAGATTGTTGAATGCATGAGTAAAACGTCCTTTAATTACTTCCAGGAAGACTGCGTTAGTAAACCAGGAAATCGTTAGTGTATACAGGATTAACTACTTTTCATATAAAGATGCTGACAAAGTGGTGATTGAAACTAGTATATGGTAATTGAGCTCTAACTTTCTTTTATACTTACTGGCCCGGCCTCAACTTGAGGTGTTTTTTGATAGGATACTTTAATTTAGCATTCGACAATTTCAGACTCTGAAGAAGGCGGTACAACTGAGACATGGGAGACGGCCCTTCTGAACCGCTAGCATTAGCAGCCTAATTACTGCGCGCCTCTGATTGGTCGGCGCTGACGCGGCGCTTGGGTAGGCGAGAGCCATGGTCAGGCATCTTCTTGATATGAAGGAATCAAACAAGATTTCGAGTTTTCCCTGAAACTCAAAAATGTTGTACGTGGCCGGCTTAGATTAATTCTTCAGCTTACACATGTAGATTTCATGGTGTTTTGAAAAGTGGGAAGGGCGAGGAAATCACGAAAGGCCGGCAGAAAAATGCGTTTTTTCCAAATTTTTCTTCCTAATCAAACATCTTCACTATCGTAATTCGTGTGCTTCGCTTGCTTTGGAATGCTCAGAAATATTTGAAAACTGTGACAATCATAAGAAAGGCGGAGTAATTAGCGCCGCCCGGGGAGGGTAATTAACGCTAGGACGAAGCGGTTCAGAAGGGCATACACCCTTTGGGCGGACAGAGATGACATTTTTGAGATCAGCATCTATCACTGACCATCTCGAGCTTTTTTTATATACGACTAGCGGCCCAATGGCTGTCGGGTGTGAGGAATGTCATATGGGTGTCACCATGACCTCGGATAACAATTTTTCAACGCCGTAAAAGCTGATAAACTAACTTCTAGTAATATTTAAATTGGAAAGTTCTGTTGGAGACGCATGGTGCGCATATGGTCTGAATGACAAAAGTACGATTATTTGCAGAAAAACGCTTAGGTTAACAAAGAATTGTTTAAATGTCGCCTTCAGTGAAGATCATTTTCGAAAATAGACATGCATACCCTCCTATACCTCGTACACTCTCCACGCTCTATTTTTAATATTAATAAATATATATATATATTTATATATTAATAAATCTCCTCTTGGGTCTGTTTTGGATAATCTCATGCTCAGTTTGTGGCAGAAGGTCTTCCAAATTATATTTTTTTAATAATGCGAATTTTACCTGATTGTACGATAATCGTACGGTTTGAATTTGCCGATTTCGCCTATGTTGTGAGCGAAAGGGAGAGTCGCGGCATGTACGCCGCTAATGAAAGTGCGGGTATATGAGAGAGCGTGGACAGTTTCATGTTGCCCGGATGAACTTCGGTGGTCCGGGGTGCAGGCTTCAAACCTGTAGGCGGTTAGCAGCCGCAGTGGTTCGATTCCACCTTCCGGGTGTTGTGGAAAGAAGGGTCGTTATCTTTCTAGATGAACATAATCGTTTAGAAAATAGAAAACTTGGCGCTGATCATTTTTAGGCAACTTTCAATCTACATGGACGTTTTGAACATCTTCATCAGGATGGCCATGATAATGGGTGGAATGAGTGGCAATAGGAGGAGGTGATTTGCAAAATTGAAGGAGATTTAATCATTGGTTTACTGATTAGCTATTAGCTGCATGTAGTAGTTGTATTTGGCTTCGTCTGGTGATTGAATGTACAAAGTTGAATAAAGAAGTCTTTTTAGCTTGAAATGGATAAAAACTCAAAAAATAAAATTTGGAGAAGGTGATGTTGTGATTCTTGCAATGCAAATAGTGCAAGCTTTGTCATCAGAAACTGTCGTTACTATAGAGATCGAAATGCTTTTTTAGAAATGTTCGTTTTTGTAGTAGGCTCGCGCTAATTTTTTTGATTTTGTGCCGGTTATCGTAGGCATCTCATATTCAGAGGCTGCTTTTCAAAATCATTGTCAGTTTCTTGTACACATTTATAAACACAGTGTCTCAAAGGCACACTGCTGATCGACAATAACTCGCTTTGATCTCTTTTGTCGATTTTTTGGTACCATTTTGTACAGCTGGTTTCAACAGATTTACTTTAGGGAGCAAATCACATTGCTTTTCATTACTGGTGAACTTCGATAGAAACTTCATAAAAGATTTCAGGTATTGAGAGGCTTCAAGAAAGCCAAGCAAGTCGGAAATCCATACTAGGCTTATCAAAGTCGCTAACTTTGATTATAAACTTTTCCACTATAAGCTTTTTTCTGAGTATAGGTAAACCGTAACAGCTGTTTTTGTCAAAAATGTAAAATGACGGGCAAAAAGTTGCGCACTGAAGTCAACCTGCGTATAAACCCTGCTATGCAATCTTCCAGATTTTTCGAAAAGAAAAATTTTTTAGGCGGCCTCACAGTGGTTCCATATGCCTGAATCTCCTATCTAATTTGAAGCTAGCTGTACAGAATGATATCGAAAGATCGGCGAAAGGACCTCAAAGAATCAGGAGCTGTTGTCGATCAAACACTGTGCACATATTTTGAGAAACCCTATATGAGCATCTGCAGTAGGGGCGAGGGGTGTTTCAGAGGTCGAAAATGTGTTTGCGAGAATAACGAGGTATCAAATAGACGTCGAGAAAATTGTCATGAAAGCAACATCTCTATTTGAAAATAATAGAAAGCATCTCTTTAAATATCAGCTGAAAATTAATTGCACCGAGCTATTACAATCATAGTGCTGATCAACGCCCTACTTTTACCCTTTCCGTGAAATAGTAATCCTATCAGATTGAGAAATTGAAATATTTTGTCTTGTCACGGTATAAGGAGACAACGAAAGCTATCATAGCTAAAGCGATTGCGATTGATGACTAAACTGATATATGACCAGTCTAAGCGCAAACTAGTTGGTGACCCAACAATGTCTAGATGAAGCGGCGACAAGTTATCCGTCGCCAGCTGATTAGCAGGCTTCTCGTATATAAGGCGATGGAGCGGATTGTGGCGATCAACGGTTTCTGCATGGTTTTCTTCAGCTCTAGCTTTCGTCTTCTGACATCGAAGCAGAAGAAATCGCAATTCCAGCTAATACCGTTTTTTTGTGATTTTTCATTGAAGCTATCTCGGTTATCTTCGATCGAAATCGGATGTTGGAAGTTCTTGCATTGAACAACTATCGATTAAATTTACCTTATAGTCTCAGTGTAAATCAGTAGCCGGAACTTCCAGCGTGTTTATGGTGGACACCCGGAGAAATAGATAATTGTGTAATTGCACCAAGTGACTGGGCAATCACCACCACGTTCCGTATATCCAAACAAATTTTCCATTTTGGCCTAATATCAAATCAAGGCCCTTCTAATCCCATGAAAAATTTTTTCAAAATGAGTTTTATTGAATAATATTTATGTATAGGCGAGTCATCGCACGCAGGGACATGACGCCACTGCGAACGCTGTCAGCGTCTCTCTGCTCAGAAACGCTATTATCCCTCTTGCCGTCTGATGTCTCTCCCATACACAAATTTTCTCATTCGGCCGCAACGCATCCAGTCTCTGCTTGTGAAGAATACCCATACATTCAATAACTCTAAATTTACAAAGCAAAAACTGGGACTGCCGCGACGCGAGCTACTGCAACGTGGTTGATAGATAACACTCGAGCCGCCTCATATTATCCGCTTTTGTTCCCGATCTCGTAAAAATTTTGCTCTTGCGACTAGCCCTGACGAAGTGACACCAGACACTTTTAGCCTGTACCTTGAGCTCAACCCCTCTAAATGAGCGTTCAACGCTACATGATTGCCGTGACCTGTGGCGGGTCTGCGGTCGCCATCGCAGCAGCGCTCTGCATCACCGTGTCTCTTTTGACTGAGATCAACTCATTCTATGATGAAGTGATTACGGACATGGGCGAGTTCAAGGTCAGTCAAGTACCCTTTGATTCAACTGGGTTGGCGTCTGGAAGGCGGGCTTCGTGTCTTAGTTAAGGCTAGATAATGATTAGAGAGCACGCGCGCGACAGCACGCAGATCGCGGGCGCAAGCTAAATTAGGTCACAAAGCCCCGCCTTCCAGCCGCTAGTGAATCGAAGGTTACTAACAATCTCTCTTTGTGTGAGTTTCTGCAATTAGACATCTAGGGCTATGCCGATGACGCATGGAAGCAGATGCTAAAAACAACTGGAGGCGATCGTAGCATGATGATGCTGGCTAGAACTCGTCGTCAAGCTTATCAAGAAGCACCGACAGGAGGTGGTGAACCAGTGACAATCAATGGCAATCAGTGTAGTGAGTTCTCGATAAATAGAACGTATGGCAGGCCCCATATCTGTCCTAGCGCTTCATGATTGGTCAGTTCACACATTTGACCAATCATCGGCGCGGGTAACCGGATAAGTCTGGCACCTACCCATACGCGAGTTGCACCTTTCTTAGTTCATTTGGATGATGAGAAGCACGTCTGTTATTTTTAGACTGCGCTCAGCAATCAACCCATTGTGCGGCAGGACCTCCAGGAAAACCAGGAGCGCCTGGATGTTGGTTACAGTAGAACTTCTTTCAAATCTGCAAGCTTAGCAATGTTTTAGTGGATGGCGAGGACGGTCTGCCAGGAAAAGGGGGATTACATGGGATGGCCGTGGCAGCTCATCACATGATGGGAGGTTGTATCCAATGTCCAGCTGGCCCGCCAGGACCACCAGGACCAGATGGAGCTCCTGGACCAGCAGGTCCAAGTGGAAATCCAGGCTCGGTAAGCGTTGATTTGTTTGGTGTTGGAATGTTGCATGCGAAAAAATCTATTTCTCCAGGATGGCAGTGCTGGAGGGGTCGGAGCGCCTGGACCAGCCGGACCAGCCGGAGCTCCAGGACCAGATGGTCATCCTGGTACTCCTGGAACTCCTGGACAGGATGGTATGGAATTTTACTTAGATTTTGGTAAGAAAAAATTCGTCATTTTTCTAGGTGCTCCTGGAACCAGAACATCAAATCTTCCTGGACCTCAAGGACCTCCTGGTCCACCTGGAGCACCTGGTCATCCTGGACAGGTGCGCATATTTAGGCTTGCTTTCTAGCTCCCTACCTTAGCGGGGCGTAAATTGTTCTCTTCCAGGACGGAAGCAGTAGCACAGGAGCCCCAGGACCTGCGGGACCAGCTGGGGCACCTGGAAGAGATGGCTCAGCTGGTGCACCTGGAGGTGTTGGTCAGGCAGGAGCCAATGGTTCACCTGGATCCGATGCTGCATACTGCCCATGCCCACCTCGTAGCATGCTAGCTGCTAGCGGAGCTTCCCTTGCTGGAGAAGAGAAAACTGAAACCAAGGTGGCGCCAACTACTGGTAATGAAGACAACGCTCACAAGGTAATTGTTGCTTCGGCTGGAGAGGCTGGCGTCGTTGCAACAGACAGTGCGGCTGCTAAGAGAGCCACTGGAGAGGAAGCTTTGACTGGCGAAAAAGCTGTAGCAACTCAGCCAAGCGGTGCAGTGCTCGGAGAGAAGACAGCCGAAACACAACCGGCTGTTGCTGCTCCAACTGCTGTTGATAAGCCTGTAGATAACCATCCCGTTGCCGGCACTCTTGCTGAGGCTGAAGGTTCAGGTGAAGGAGCACCATTGACCGGAACAGTTCACACGGAAAACACTGGAGACAGTACCGTTAAGACAGCTCGTACAAGCGGAGTGGAAGCACCCAAGACAGGTGATGAAGCACTTTTGACGGGGGCAAAAACAGCGGCCGCAGAAGGTTCTGCTAGCCCTACATCGCTTGAAGCTCCTGCTGGAGCTGTTCTAGCTGCTGAACCACCAGCACCACCCAATGTTGCCGCTCCAGCTTATCCATCATTTGGTGCTGGCTCGCTTAGCTCTGCTAACAGACTTCGTCGATACTTCAGCAGACGCTTCCATGCCTAAGCCAAATTGGAGACTATTTATCTCGCAAGTTTTATTCCAATAAAGTATGCATCCCACTTATTTCTGTGACTTTCAAAAAGGAGTTGGGAAGAGAAAGAAGTCTCGTTCTTTACTAATCACAAAAGTCTCGAAGTAATGAAGAACATCGATTAGGAGAAAATTACACATAAGCGGATCGCATGAAACTCTTCTGCCAACATAACAATCTGAGGCTGAGCCTATTTTCACTCTCATAAAGTAAACCTTACTCTATAGACCCTATAAAGTCGCAGCTTCACACACTTTCACTCCCAAGATTTATAAAGATCGGAATGTCAGTCATTGAGCAACCTAAAACGACAATCTTCTGGATACGAACTTCACCGATAATATCCTAGATCCACATTCATTTTCCCGCAATTTGAACGCAATAGAACTGGATTTATGTACTTTTTGAAAATATGAAGCCGCATCGGCTGCGGATTCATACACAAGTTTAAGAAACAACGAAATTTTGCTAATTTTACGGAATTGAACCATCTGAAATTTCAGTTGCACTTTTGGATCGACCCATTCTTCCACTATCTGATAGAGCTTCATTCACCTGTTGAAACCATAATTGCAATGACTAGCCTTTCTACTCGCGAGACTCAAAACAATCAAAATGTAACGTACCTAATTTTTCACTACTTATTATAGAAATACTGGTTGTTACAATTAGCGAAAATCTCCCGGAAGGACTTCTTCGATTTGGCTTTTCTAGTTAGAATGCAAACAGTCTTGAAGGCGTTCAACGCTGATTTTAGACTTGTTTTTTTCGGCGGAGTACTTTGCGTGAGGAGTTATGAACGTTTTATAAATCAAAAAACTGAATGCTTGATCGGAATAAATTCAGTGGTGACATACAATCCATGGCGAGCCATTGGTAGGAAGCGATAAAATTTTCTTCATGGAAAGGTTTAGCAGTCACCAGTGCTCCATCGGAGCTGAGACTTCTACAAGCGATTTTCTTCGAATTACGCCTTCACTTTTTGATACCAAAGCTCTCACAACTCTCGTCTAGAGGAGCTCCGCAGATGAGGACGATGGATTTGTAATCAGCCCCCTTGCAAAATGTGTTCCGTCTCTTTTGAAAAGAACACTTTGACTAGAGACCTTTCCCTTGTTGGATCGACATAGGTTTTAACATTATATTTGAACGAAAAATTGGATCGACAGTTTTTCAACATTGTATTTAAACAAAAATTTCTCATCAAAAGACGTTAAGTCTTAGTCTTGGTTTCAACTTCATGAACAACTACTTAAACATTTCAAAGAAAGAGGACAAAGGATTTAGCACCTTCAATAACCTATGCGGGCATGTGAGACCTGGACTGACAGCGCCCATGTCGAAAGCTTTACGGAACTAAAAAGAGTGAATGAGCGTTCTGGAGCAGGGCTCGGCACGAGGTGGCTTACAAGCAAGCTGGATATCGTTTTTGGGACGAAAAGCAAAGGGGGTTTCGTTTTTGTGACCGAAGAGACACGGAAAATTGGCGACGGCGACCTTTTTTTTTAGTCGACGTTTCGTTTTTTGGGGGATTTTGGGGAATTTTTCAGGTTTTTAGAGGAAATTTGGTTGAGGGTCAAAGGGGACTTCGTAAAAATTCCCAAAAGTCAAGGGGGACTTCGTTTTTTCCATTTTCATCTAGCCACCTCGTGCCGAGCCCTGTTCTGGAGATGATACAGCACCTAGAACATTTTCTCGGACGAGTAGGAATAAGAATGTCTTGCCTTTGTCATCTAATGGAAAAGCTTGGTTTCGATGATGATCACATCATGAGAAGAATAGACGACAGATGGACACTAAAAATATCTGCGTGGATTCCTCGCAAAGCAAAATGTGCCCGAGAAAGTTCACCAAGGATATGAGCGAACCAGTGGCGTATCAAGAGGGCGCGGGGGAAGGGCGGGGGGCCAGAATGGGTCGCGAAATTTTTGAAAGTTACTTGCATGAGTAATAAAATGTGCCAAGTGACTTGTTTATACTGGTAAATGATTAAAATAATTTTTTAAATTTTTTAAAAATTCAATTTAGCTCTATAAAAAAGCCCCTTTTTCTAGAATTTCGGGGTCAGGGGCCCGCAAAAAGTTTGGGAAGCTTACTAAAAAATTTTTCGGAGTGCGTGCTAACGGCACGCACATTCCTCAGAAAGAAAATTTTGTCCCCCCCCCCCCCGAGCGGAAATCCTGGGTACGCCACTGGAGCGAACATATTCGTGGAAAGGGTGGACCAGAAAGATGGACCAGTTCTTGCTAGTATGTCCATATCCGCTCCCCCTTCTACGAAACACATGAATAACGAGTGCTTTTTTCTGAAATTTGCTAAACCTATGTGTTTGTACATGGCAGTCGCCTTGATGCTCGATCGATGTTTTTGTCAAAAGAAAATGGCTGTGATTCATCTACTTATGGTAGCATCAAAAGTAGTTTTTCAAGGCTTTATAGCTATAATCTTTATGATCATCCTCGCAGATGGAAACAAAGTTCTTTGACGAGTGCTTAAGCTAGACACAAACTTTCGAAACTCAGAGACTGCAACCAGTGACGTGCATAAGACAGTAAACTCTTTCAATTAAGTGAAATTCATAAACAAATGTCTTCATCTTCTGGGAGGCTGAGGCTTTAACAACCATCATACCTTTCTGGGACTGTCGGAGCCTGGCCTAATATGTCAATAAAAGCAGTACAAGCTGTTACTTTTAAACGATTTTGTGACATCTTATAATACGTAGGGAGTTTTACGTATTATCAGAGCTCATTTCTGGAGAGTAACGATATACTAGGCCGAACTGTCGCAGGAGCAATGGGAATAAAGATTGGCAGTTTAAACAACTCTGTTTACCCGATAAATTGTGTATAAATGAATGATTAAGTGCTGCTTCTGGTCATTCTTTCAATATTGTCCACACGACTTAGTCGCTTCAAAACCGTCTCTTCTTGCATACTTGACTACTTGCTGATCTCCGTTAGTCTCGGAGATTTCTATACTCGCTTGTTAACTCCGCATGGCTGAAGTCTGCAACCTCGATATGGCCGAAGCAGTCGAGAAGCCTGTTCCTGGAAAAGAGGAGAAGAAAGTGGAGAAAGACCGTTTACCGGCTGTCAATGATGAAATCCACGCCGACGACAAGAAGTATAAATTAAAGCAAAAGCTGGGTGATGGTGGTTACGGAATCGTCTTTCTCAGCGAAGATGGTAATAGGTAAGTTTGCTTTTGATCTTTTCTTGATAAATCTCAGCGATGTTGAAGTGGAGAGTGCTTGCTGGACTATTGAGGTGTACATTGTACTTCATAACATGCGCATAACTGGAGCACTCGCCAAGCAAGCATAAAAGAAGCGTCAATCTAATCACACTTCTTTTAAAAATTAGGAGTAGCCATCGCTTGCGAATGGTCGATTGGACTAATACACAGCTGATGACTGCATAGGGTTGACCAGAAAAGCGAAGATGTAAAGATTCAGTCTGTTCTGGTTGCTCTTGTAGTTGTTCGTTGATCATTTGGACGTACTAAAAAAACGGAGTACTTAAAGCATGAATGACAATTCACACGCTAGTAGTTTCTTCTATCAATGAAAGTAAGAGGACTAGGGCCCGTAGAGGCTGCCCCAGTTTTTCCGGACTTCTCAAACGGGGAAACCTTCAGTTGAGCTTAAAACGAGTCAGCTAGGCCTCAGCGAAGCCAGTAGTTGGTTATTCCCTCCAATCCATGACAATAACAATGGTAGCGTCACGTCTGTGCACGTGTATGAGTCAAACTATGAACCTAGCTAACATTACCTACCACCTAGGTAGATTTAGGTGATAGGTACCGGCGGCAGAGATGTGGCCGCACTTGTTAGGCCTTAGGCCTCGGACATACCTCACGCGATTTCAGTCGCGACGCGATTTGGCAACACTCCAAATGTTCATAACTCATCGTACGGAGTTTCCGAATGTACGGAAGATGGGGCATTTTATAATCTACGAAAGTCAAACATGCTGTACATTTGGGGTCTACCAGTATTGAATTTGAAAACATCTGGCAAATTGCCAGATCGCGTGTCGACTGAAATCGCGTGAGGTATGTCCCTTGCCTTAGCCATACCCTCACGCGACTTCAGTCGCCACGCGATCTGACAATTTGCCAGATGTCTTCAAGCCAATGCTAGCAGACCACAATTATATAATTTGTATGTAGGTTGATAAAATGTCCTATTCTCTGCACATTCCAGATGCGCACACAATGAGTTATGAATAATATGAGCATCTAAATCGAGTCGCAACAGAAATCGCGTGAGATATGGCCAAGGCAGATCCTTGAAGGGGCGTCAGCCTGCACTGCAACTCTCTATTCAATATTTCTCAGACATGTTCGGTGTAAAATGACGTTGTAAACTACTCAGGAGCAATTTGTTGAGAGTTTCTCTGTGCCCCATCATACCCACACTTTGCATCAGGTAAGTCTCAGCTGAACTTGTAGTTCACAAGTGTGAAACGGTTGCTTGCTGCTGTTAGACGGACGTCCATTGTCAGTTCGCCTTTCATTCTTGCATCATTGGAAAGAGGCGGTCATCATTCCACCTTGTGGAACCTCAAACTGATCTCCTCAGTTCAGATCAACTGAATTGGGCACATGGCCAGAGGTTCTCATCGTCTCTTTTTTTTTAATTCCATTCATTCTCAAACTCTTCTTTTATTTTCATCTATTCCCGCAAGCTCCGACCTTTTATAAACCTGCAGAATCCAGACATCGTCAACAATAATGAATGTCCAATAGTCCAAGCCAATGTTTAGGATCTGGCGTAGCTGTATTCTTTGACTTTGTATTCTTCGGCAGAGTATCCTTTAACTGTCAGCCATTGTTTTGGTGCTTCCACCCTATTAGCTGCGGTCTTCATACAATGCGTCTAAGCTATGAGCACACAGCTTGAAACTTCAGTAACTATGTTTCGACTACGGTCTTTTCAAATGAAACACATCTTTTATGTGACACGAAACGCTGGCTTTAAGTCTGCTATTGTTTGGCCAAACAACTTTCTATAATGATTTATGAGCGTTGTCCGGTGAGACTAACATCGGTGCCGCATATTCCACAACTGTTCTTGTGACTTATGACTTGAAAGGCAAAGACTAAGTCAGCGTAATCGCCCTTCACGAAACCATGTAAACTGGTTAAAGAATCCCAATCTACGAGGGAAAGTGCAATTTGAATCTTTTTGCTCAAAAAACGAGAAAACTTCCACATCCGGTGTGGCGGGGTGAGGCTGATTATTCAAATCACTGAGGTGATGGACGAATTGTTCTGGAGCTGTTGACTTGCAACTGAGTATACCCTTTGTTACAACTGGCTTGGCGGCTGGAAGGCGGAGCTTCGTGACCTGATTAAGGCTAGGAGAATGATCAGAAAGAGCGCGCGCGAAAGGGACGCAAACTACGTCGCGGGCGTGCGCCTTAACTAGGTCACAAAGCCCCGCCTTCCAGCCGCCAAACCAGTTGAATCAAAGGTTAAGACCCATTAAATAGCTTATGCGGTGCAATAGAGTTGCAAACTTGTCTTGTTTTGCACTAAAATTGTCACCAATCATGGCTTTCAGGAAACTCATTCACTGATTGTGAAAGGCTTTAATCCTCTTGGACCTGACTTTTTCCCCGTAGAGAAGAAATCTTTTTTTCTCATTGATTTTTAATTACAGGCACATAAATAGCAGTTCAGTTAAGTTTGGAAAGTTTTTGGCCGTACAGTAATAAATTACAAAATGGTGGCATTTGCCACCAACAGGCTTTAGTGGAGCAGCTTTCATTACACCTTTTTAACTACAGTGGAATGTTCTGAAGCGATTTCGATGTTTCGTCACAAAGACGAACCGTACATTTCTCACACTGAATTCGAGAATGTCCTTTACAAGATTTTAGTTTACATCATTGTTCGTTACCATCGTCATATATCGGCCAGTGTCCGACGTGTCATATCTAACTTCACTCAGAGTTCTCAATCTGGGCTTCACGCGTTTTGTTGGAACGGTAGTAGCTTCCATGATATTCGAAGAACTGAACACCGGTCTACCTTATTCAGTTCATTCGCGATGCCACGAACTTTCACTTTCTCATCTTCGTGCTCTTTTTCGTCACTTTCTCCAATGGCTCTGAACTCCTCGTCAACATCATCCTCGCCAATGAAGCGGCCGCAGCTTCTCTCAAGGGGATTTGTTGAAATATGTCAGCTAGATTCTTGTCGAAGATCCTTGGCTCCGTCTTCTGGATAAGAAACCTTCCACTGAAGTTCCACTAAAGCCCACTGGTGGCAATTGCGTACAGCAATTCCGAAAGGTGATGGCAAAGAGTCAACACATATGGACTCACAAATAACTGTAAATTATTTTTTGAGTAACTTCATACTCAACGGCTACAAGGGAAATATGAATAAAAACACAATGTTCCAGAGAAAAATTGGCACTAGCCTATCAGATTTCAAACTCGAGCGCAATCCAGTGTTGTTTCGCATGCAATTGCTTCTGATACTAAACGCAAAACGAACAAAAATTGCGAGTGGACGCGTAGATAGAGCATTAGACCATCCCAAGCTACTATAACTAGGAGTGCTAGAAACATGCTGTCGCGGCGATGCTACAGTCCTTCAAACTTGGTGGTGGCAAATGCCGCCGCCAGGTCCCAAAGGGTTAAGAACAATAATGGAATGAAATGGAATAAATAATAAAACAGTTTTTTGTCAGTTGCTACAAAAAATCGTGACCAAAACCATACCGGAAGAGGGACCTTAGTTACCATCTTTTCTGCTGTTTCATACTCTCAAAACTATTTCTGCAAAAATGAGATAGGATCTACTTATAGTTCTTCGATCATGGCAATGATCGGAGAACGTGGGCATAACCGTGTAATTTTTGTCGTAGATATTCGGAAATACCGATCGCTTTTCATTGTTGCGCAGTTTTTTACCGCAGATCTTTACCAGATGTCACCTCGAATCCGAGGTCTAACATTACTATAAAAAATGCTAAACTAACGCCTGACTACATGTATAATAAAAGTTTCTTTCCAAAATTAAGTTGCGCTGTGACCAGTGAGGAGTAAGAAAGCGACCGAAGTTGGAAAGGAAAAGGGCAGCATAACGTGTATCTTGCGACCTGTGGATTAGCTTTCTAAATGTCCATCAGTCGTTAGATCTGGCTTTCCATCCGGCGATTGACCATCACAGCTTACCATGCATTCATAGACATTATGGCCTAGAAGTATTTGCAGATTGTGGTATTATCCTAGTTTTTTGTGTGTCTGTGTGTGTGTGTGAATCTGTCTGTCACGAAATTCATAGAGGAAGCTGCAACTAAGCTATCGGGCTGCAATTTTGCATAACATAGCGTGCCAGCGTGTAGGCCCACTATGTGCAAGGACGAGCCGGTTCGACAAGCGGGTCCCTCAAAATTTGCGCGTCAAAGGTCCACGCGCCTTTTGGCCCGCAAAACTGGGTCGCTAATTCGACTTCTTGCAAAGTTATGATTTGCCTGACAAGTAACTCTGCGCGCCATGAATTCTAGCCCAAAAAGTGCTCAAAAAGTTTGCTATTTTGCGAAAACAGCGCCAAAAAGTGATGAACGCGTAAATAGTCGATTTGGCAAGGTTTTGTTTGAAAAAACTGAAAAGATTTTTGCACTGAAATGTAGCCCAAGGTGACTATTATCCTTATGACAATTATCAAACTAAAAGAAAATCAGTAATCCGCTCAAATTCGCATTTGTTCCCTTGCAACAAAGTTTTTTTTTTCTCGAAATTACCGATCTTACATGAGATGCTTCATGAATGAACAGTTGTTTACGATTCATTTGTGATGCTCAGCATCGCGTGGTGAGTTTCAAAGCCATTCTCATGCGAACATACAAAAAGGCATAGGGAGCCAGTGTGAACCTCCGCGAAGCGGAGTTGACGCACTGGTCACTTATAAAATTGTCTGTGGTTGGGAGCATAGGTGCGATGGGGTGATCGGGGTCCCTCGAAAGTGAAGGGTGTCCCAGCTGATTTTGACACCCCAAAAGTGAAGGGTGTCTGGAAAGTGCCGGCGTCGACCGGGGGGGGGAATCGAAAAAACTCCAAGCGTCGACCGGGAGGGGGGTTGGAAAAATGGTGAAAATTATAAAATTATCCAGTTTGAATGGTTATTCTCTAAACTGGATTTGTGTGAAATATAATTAGTGAAATGTTTATAAGCACATTGTTTTGAATTTATATAAATATTATTTCATTTTCATAGATTATTTTTCGAGGATGCATGTTTAGGTGGGTGGAACGTGATTTTTCAAGGATGCATGTTTAGGTGGGTGGAACGTGTAATGTTGTAAATGTGATTTCGACCGAAAATTACAATGGACAATGGCAGATAGTCGAGGCTTGGAAGGTGCTGAATGAAGTTTTACCTGGAACGTACAGATGTGGATAATGTTAATAAGAGACTCCGCGATGATTAGGAATTAATGTTGCAAATAAATCCGTAAGTCGGTGTCTATGGAGTACAATAAAAAAATTTGTTGCTCAATTGTGTCCACTTGAAGCAGAATAAACATACACAGTGTAGCACAGTGATAAGATTAGTATAACTGATGTCAGGAGAAATTCCCAGGGCAGTAAAGTTGAAGCTACGACGTTGACGATAATTCAGCAAGGTCACTTTTTCTAACTTGTGTAACTTGCAGTAGCTCGCTTTCTAGTATAACTCTTGTATAAATGGGCTAAAGCCAATTTTGAGCTAGATTCGGATTCTAGCCTTCAAAAGCTATACAACGATATATAATTTGTGAGTTCAATATCTTTGCCAGGTGAGATAGTTTTCATAGCTCCAACGGTACCCCCCCTCCACGTCAGAGCCCCATATCTCCACGGTGGGGGCATTTCATGATTTGATTTTTTTTGCATCTTCAAGAGGGAGGTCCATTTAGCATTACCTATACCCTCGCAAAGAGATTCCACGGGACCGACTAACTAAAGTTCAAAATTTACCTGTGTTTTTCAAGCGCCTTTTATTCCCTACTGTAACTCTCCATTAGTACATCCGATCTCTCTGCGAGGGTATAGGTAAGACTCAGTAAACCTCCCTCTGTAAGATGCAAAAAAAGTGTAGCATGGAATGCCCCCGTCGCCGAGATATGAAGCTGCAAAAAAATCCATCAAAAATCGATTTTTTTAATATAACTTTTGTATAAGTGAATGAATCAAAACGGCGATAGTATAGGTGGATTCGTCTCGTCAAGAGCTTTCGAATGATATATAACATGTGGGGGTTTACTGCTTCCGGGTTGCGGGAAGGGGGGGTGATCGGTCTCAGTTCAGGGCGATCACCTGGCGGCGCCTCTCCAATGCATTAAGGTGGCGGGGGGTGATCACCCTGAACTGAGGCCGATCACCCCCCCCCTCGCAGAGCTTAAAAAAAAATAGGACCCCCACATGCTATATATCAATCGAGAGCTCTTGAAGATTAGAATCTACCTATACCCTCGCATCTCAAATTCGTTTACATATACACAAGTTATTTGCGAAAAATCGATTTTTGGAGTTGTGTTTTCTGCTCTATTTGCGACTTCGTAACTCTAAGAGGAGTTCTTTTTAGGATCCAGTTTTTTTTTTCAATATGATAGAGGAAAGGTTACTTACTAACGCCTATACTCTCGCAAGATGATATTATGCAACTGACTTAAGTTATACTAACTCAAAAACTGACTTTCCTTAAAAATGACCAACACTGTGATTTTAACTATACTGCTCTAGAAATTTCTCCTGACATCATTTATACTATTTTTATCATTATTCTGGACTCTATATGTTTATTATGCTTCAAGCAAACACACATGAACAACAAATTTTTTTATTGTAGCACATAAATACCGACAAAACAATTTATTTGCAAAAAAATTCATGATCAATGGCTCTTATTGACATCGTTCACAACAATATTTTCCAATAAAGCTGTCCATCAGCGCCCTTCAAGCCTCTTAATGTCTGCCATTGCCCGCTGCCCATATCGTTGTAGTTCGAACCCATTTTTACAACAGCCAATCCTTCTAAAAATGCATTTTTTCATTCAATATTTTTGTAATTCCGTGTGCAGTAATTCCTCACCTTGAAAAAATTTTTTCGTCCCTTTCAGGTGAAGGGGGGGGGGGGGGGTGGTCCGACCTCCAAAGTGAAGGGGGGGGATGAGCTTTTGCTCACCCCATCGCACCTATGGTTGGGAGCAATCCACATGCAGTCGCCAACTGAACTGACTCAAGTTTCAGGCCCGTAGCAGTGAAAACAGAAAAATACAGTAAATCTATGTTGCATATAGAGGTTGGTGTTCTGAAAGCAGCTAATGCGGCAAAAGCAAAACATTTTTGTGAATTGATAGATTACGTAAGTTTAGCGACAATGGACTAGGTCGTAATAGTTGCAACGCAGAGATTCAAGGGATCCAACAAACCGGATTATGTGTATGTCGTCATGACATTACTATACAAGGACTTGCATAAGCTCAGATCCGAAATGCCAAATCGGAAGTTCCATTTGAGTACGTCCCTGAGGCTAGCCATGCAGGCTCTAAAGGTAGACTACATTTGAAAATGGGCTTTAAACGATTTTCAAATCTTTTAGGCTGTCGAAGAGCTTCATAAAATTGGATATTTGTCACGCGATATAAAGCCAGGGAATTTTGCTCCCGGGCAAAAGTGTAACAAACAGTCGAAAATTATATTCCTCTATGATTTTGGGCTAGCACGAAAGTATCTAGACAAGGTGATCATTTATGTAAAAGTCATTATTGGCTTTGTCATGACTGTACTTTATTAAGAATGGGGTTGTGATTCCACCACGTAAAGATATTGGTTGGAGAGGCACAACAAGATACGGCAGTCTTACAGCACATCGTCGACAGGTATGAGCGAAAAATCACTAGCCCAGCTTTCAAGCCTTGTCTGTCCATCTGTCTGTATGCATGTATGTGCGTACGTATGTTTCGAATAGAAGATTCCATTTAACCCATCTCCGGACCAAACTTGGCACACATATAGTCCGTGGCGAGGAGCGTGTCATAGGCTACTTTTCGTCATCGATCCTATCGATTCTTACCAATTTTTTGCAAAGTTTGATCTATGAGGCTGGGGATTGGCACAGGGGGGAGGGGGTAATCGCATGCTGATTACGAATACAATATTTGTTTCTAAGATCATCCTTTCTTTCTAACTATTCAATCGAATTTTTTTTGCAAAATGCGAGCTACGGGGCTGGGAATTGGCACAAGGGGGTGAATATGCTAATTACTAACACAGCGGGAATAGGGAATTAGCATGTAGAAGTGGGCAGAGGGAAAGGTTGTACAGGGATACGGATGGGACGTTTATCATAGTGTTTTGACAAGACCGGGCGAAGCCGGGTAAGCCAGCCAGTGTGTTATAATTCCAACACTTTCGCCTACTTCTGATAAGTCGCAGTGGCTCATTGAGTTTTGGAGCATACTTTCAGGATTCAGCGCATGGTGTAGAAACGGGAGTGGGCTTACGATCAGGTCACTGCAAGTCCCTCTCGGATTTGGTTTTTTTCTGTAACAAGAGAAGCCTCACTCCTATTGTTTTTTACTTACTAGCATATGAATAACATTATAAACGGGGTTTAGAGCCTTTCCGACATCCATTCTACTTCTTTTTGATTTTTGATTTTTCTTTCTTGCGTTTATTTTTATTTTTCAAATTTTCTCCAATACATGTAGAGCGGCAAACTGTTAGCAACTACACTTGTACAGCATCGTGCTCAAAGTTTTGACAATATTAAGAAAACTTATTGGCTAATGAATGAGATTACTGACACGCCCCCTCCCCCCCCCCCCCGCTCGTTCGTTGCGAAAGGGCAGAACATAGCTTTTGCAATAGTATATTGGGGGCAAAATGCTTGTTTTGCTGACAGGAAAACAAAGAAAACGCGGTTTAAAAGCTATACGAAGGTAAAGGCTATCTGAGCAGATCTGTAGCAATGAGCATTCAAAATTATGCTCTTGCGCCAGCACTGTAGGTCGGGCCACTACCAGGTCCAAAAGAGTTGAAGTGTTAGCTTCCACCATTTGAAAAACTTGACAAGAATCCACTTTAAGCCACAGTCTTCGTAATATTAGGGGAGTTCAATATTGTGTGAAATGCGTACGCTGCGAACGTCGTATACGCCGCGTATGCCGTGCAGTCTCGCTCAACCCATAGCGTTGAATTAGGCGAGAAAGTTGCTCGATTAATATGCTTACGCATTGGTGGAATATTCTTACCCAATTGTATCTTTCTCTACAATTAGCAGCATGCGCAGTCCACCACAATTTTCGGATCATAAAGTCCAACAGTCGGCCTGCGTCTCCAAGTTGGACAGTAGCTGTTTCACTTAGAAAATGGCTTGAGAAAAAGCCGTAAGTACCCGACAGGCATCTTACAATACCCGCGCATATCCTGCCAAGCGCGATAATACTCGCAGGTGCGGACGGTCAGGAGGTACGATCGGAATCGAATTTTTCGCGAAGCGACGCCGCAACGTACTTCAACCAATACAAGAGCAGCACTCCAGACGCAATCAAGACCTTATAATAACGGGCTAAGGGTTGTTTACGTGTTTTTGTGTGTGTGTGTGTCCGTCTGTTACGAAATTCGTAGAGCGTGTTCCAGCCAGCGTTGTTAGCCCAAATTTTGCACAGTGCATGCTCCCTTCCTGGAAGTCTAACATGCAAAACCACGAGTAGATTCGTTGAGTGGATCCCTTAGAAATTGCGCGCCAAACGGATCCACCTGGCTTCTGTCCCGCAAAATTGGGTCCGTATCATCACTTTTTGCAAAGTCGTGGGTGTATTTGGTTAGCAAATGTGCAAACGATGGAGTTTAGCCAGAAAAGTGATCGAAAGTTTACTACATAACGAAAACGGCGCCAAAACGAATTGGTTTTGTAAATGGTCAATTTGCCAAGGTTCTAGCTAAGCGTTTGAGAAGATTTTCGCACAGAGATGTAGCTCACGGTTACTACTGCCTTTATGGCGACTACCAAGCCATGACAAGTTCAAAAACCTATTCAAATTTGCGTTTGTCTTCCTATGAAAAGTTTTATCCACGCGAAATCACCGATCTCACGTGAAAAAGCTTTTTAAATGAGTAGTTGTTTACATTTTATTCGTGGTAGTCGGCATAGCGCGGTGAGTTCCAGTGCCACAATTCTACGAGAATGAGTAAGGCACGTAGATAGTGGGGCCAGTGCGAGCCTCTGCGAAGCAGAGGTGACGCACTGGTGTTACTTATGCCATTGAGTCATGTACCTGCCTCCATCCCCATCCCCGTGTTTTTGCCGCCGGGAGTCTTTGATATGGGGAGTTCCATGGGTCCCAAGATCGGGACGCGGCGTGCGCGGCGAAGCGACCGCCGCGCGCGGCGTACCTCCTGACGTGCAGCCGGTTTGTAAAGCCCTAGCACGGCTTAGGCCCTCGACATAGGCGATGTCTAATTCGCCAGCCAATGCTAAACGTATCCCGCAAGCCAGAAGGGCAGCATTAGCGACGCAGACTCGCAGGGCGTTCAGCCCGCAGCAATCTGTCGATGTCGCAATCGACAGATTGCTGCGGGCTGAACCGCCTTACAAACCCAGCGCTTAGCAAAGAGCGATTTCAATCCAAGCAAGAGACTTTGCGCCCGCAGCGTCAGGACCCGATACTTTGGCCAAGGGTGCTTGCCAGGTTTCCATTCTATGTTAGTGTCAGGAATAACTGTATGAGCATGTTGTACGCCAAGCAATCTTAGCGTTAACCGTTTTTTGTCGATTTAAGGTGATGAACTTTTGGCGTTCCTCATTGCAAAGAATTTCGTAATAGTCACCTGCATTTCAAAATCCTTTACGTCAATCTTCGAATCTTCACAGGATCTTGGAAGACGGGACGACTTGGAAAGTTGGTTTTATATGTCGATTGAAATGACAAGAGGTACACTGCCATGGAGACTCGTGACAGGCATGTAGCTCTCAGAAGTTTCATCAATTACTGTCTCAATTGCAGATCGTGCTGCCGTACAAGCAGCCAAGCAAGCAGCTCGAGCAGCCGGACGCATTCAGTTCTTGTTTGAAACACCCAAGCAATATGACCAAATCCTCACCATAATCGATTCATATGTATTCGATTCAGTCCCAGATTACGAGAAAATATACAAATTACTCGAGGAGGTACGAATATCTTGACAAGGTTTTTCTTTGCGAGAATCGGTTACTGCAGGTCCGTGAAGAGAAGGGCATTCGGATGAATGACCAATGGGATTGGGAAGATGAAGAGTCACAGTCGAACACAACAAATACAGTTACTAGTTATTCGGAGCGAGAACTGAAGGCTAAAAAAGATTGATTGCAAAGAGAAAAGTCATTTGTCATTAGAAAATTCTCGATTACTTGATGCTGATCTATTCCTTCAATAGCTTGTTTGCCAGCTTGAATGTCGTGTTTTTTGGCGGGTTGATAAAGATTGCGAGGTTTAGCCTTTTACCTATACTAAATTTGTGTATACATTCCGTAGATCTGCTCGAATTTACTCGTAATTGCGTTTGGCTGCTACTTAATCTCATCATGATGTAAGTTGATTTGAGCGTGAAATTGATAATACTTCTTTGTTGACTAGCGTTTCGGCACTATCGACAAGCATAAGGAGTTGCATGCAGCTTTCCTAGCCGGAAAAGCCTTTGATAAGGTGCTCCAAAGGTGATAAGTCATATGGTGGTCTTACGAAATGCGTGGTGCCAGACTACGTTCAGCGGATAAAGTTGATCTACCACAACGCTTCAAGTCACTTGCAAACAACGGCAGAACAATCGAAAGAGTTCCAAATCAAGGTTGATTTACACTAAGGTTCATTTTTTTTTTCTTGCTCTTCATCGCTGTGATGAACGCCGTAATGGAAGCGCTAGTTAACCTCCTTGGACATTCTCTGCGCAGATGGTCTTGGTAGCAAGTAAAAGAAAGGAGTCATTTTAGGAGTTACATTCATGCGCAACTAGTCGCCTGGGGAGCATGCAGGCATGAGCGCTACTGACGAACAACTTGTTGCCACCTCTAGCAGTTATTTATTTTGTCCTAGCCTCCCCGATTCCCTGTCCATCGTCATGTAACCAGTGACTGGGGGCAACTTGTCTATTATGCTCTTGTTTCGCTAACTTCAAATTACATTTAGTAAGGGAATTGAGAAATTTTCTGTCAACTCCCAGGAATACCGGTCCATTCAGCAGATAAGCATCAATTTCTCTAGGCAAAGCTGGACATTTCGCTTTCTCCAAATGCTTTTTCAAGTGAGAAATGAGACCCTCTCCAAAAAAAGTTTCTCTTTTCTATCTGAAACTCCAAGCCTCGATTCAATGCGTTTGTTTTCATTCCGTTCATTCTAACCGATGCATTGGCGGAGAATCCTAGATTTGCTCTTTTTGTCTGGTGTGCTCTTCTCATCTATGCTACACTCCATAGGTTCGCCTCCACCATCACCTAGTTTGATTACGAACTTGTTGATTCGCAATCTGTTGCGTTTGATATTTAGGATTGTACCTGCTGCTCCTCGGGTTGATGTTTTTCTGGAATTTTTTACAATAGCTGGCGGTTTATGCCATGACTAAGTACTACTGTTCTGGGGTTCAGTGGATTTTTGATTTACCTTGCTTCTGCCAAACACGGTTGGATTAATTGCTTTATTCCCGAGCCGGGTTCTCCGGCAAAACACTTCACCGCAAACACTACGAAAACGTCGGATTCTCCGGCTTACAACTCAACCACAACTGGCGTTCCAAAAGGGGGAGCTAAAATTGTAAGTGTTCAAAAGGCTGCCAGCTGGCAGCTTCCTTGTTCGAATGCAAATCGCAAACAAGACAAAAACCTGTTTTGCGAACTGGGTTCGCGGAATCGTACAAAACATTAGTACAAGATCATCGAATAACAATTACGGTAGCGTTGGCTACGACAACTACCGAGCCTAGTTTCGGTCTCAATACCTTTAGGTCACCCACTTGATGGGCGTGGCGACCTTAGCAGCATCCACTTCCTGCAGCAATTTCTCGTCCGGAATAAAATTATGCAGCGGACTTGAGCAATCACTTTTCTAGTCAGAAACCTTTAATGCGCTAAATTAAGCAAGCACCAGACTTTTACGATACAACCGGCGTCGTAGTTCACCCATTCGCTGTTTAATTCAGTGACCAGTAGCGAAGGAGCGAACCACATAAACGGATTGAACCGGATGACCTCTGGCCTACCTTAGAGGCAGTATCGTCGACTCCACGATTCGTGTAGAGGCGGGGTTTTGCCAACTCAAAGCGTGGCGGTTTTTGATGGCGAGAGAGTACGAAAAACAATGCTATCGTTTATTCGCTTTCACTAGAGTGGGCGGACCACTGCAGACATGACATGACATGTAATCGGTCAATAAACCTCCATCCTAGAGCATTGTTTTTTGTACTCTCTCGCCATCCAAAGCCGCCGCGCGTGTACGTAGACAGTGCTCCGCCCACTCTAGCGAAAGCGAGCAAACGATATGACGTGGAGGTTTAACAAGTTTACCCGTGCTATCAGGTAAAGTCTGCAATACACCTTTACACGAATCGTGGAGACGATCATACACGGGCAACTCAGTCTTTAGAAAATCCACTCACCGGGGTTATTTGCAACGCCGAATCCGAAAATCGATATCGGAACGCGCGAAAACGGCGAGAACATGCCTTTTTTAAAACCTTACAATTTGAAATTCGACGGTCCCCACCAAAGCTGAACGCATAGTCGCTGCGGGACCCTATGACTTTGACTGTGGCGGCATGCGTGCTCTACCTCATACAGTCTGCCCCAATCCCAACCAGGCCAAAATTGGCATGGCGGGAGTCCGTTTCGCTGGGGTTTCGCGGTCACGCACAGGGCTTGCCTCTCTGCCCTCTCTCCAATCCTTTGGCTCTCTCCGACAGCGCGCATATGCAGCGCAAACGCTTGGCGCTGCGAGCGCGCAAATTTATGCTGACGGTTCGGCCTGATCCCAACTGGAGCAGACTGTAGGCACCCGCCATACTTGATCCGCTTAATCCACTTGATCCCCTTGATCCGCTTCATCATTGGTCAGTTCAGTGAACTGACCAATAGTGAAGTGGATAAAGTGGAAGCGGATCAAGCGGACAACCGCTTGATCCGCTATTGCTCAGTTCACCGAATCGACCAATGACGAAGCGGATCAAGCGGAACAAGTGGATTAAGCGGATCAAGTATGGCGGGTGCCATAGCAGGAACTCAGACAGGTCGGAGGACTCCTGTACAAGGCGTAAGAGTTTCCCCACTTCCCGATCGTTTTTCTTGCTAGGTAGAACGTAACTTTGTACTTGGGCGATGCTGTGTCTGAGGGGCCACTTTCGCATGACACTGAAATCCCAAAACCCCAAATCTTATACGGACACTGCCTTTAACATCCCCTGCCTTCAAAGTGTAGAACGCCCATAATCGGCCGCGGAACTAATGGGGAAACTGAGTCGCGCCCCAGTGCCAATCTATTAGAGCACGTTATTTTCTCGATTCGCGCACGTAGCAAGTGAAGTGACCCTAGCGACTCCAATAGGACATCATCTTTACTTTCAATCCACATAGAATCATTAGTACTATCTCAGTTTTTGAATATACTTAAGATTAGAAAAGTTTTGTACCGAGTCATACAGTTTGCCGAGCTCGAGCGAATCATGACGCTTTGCTTTTTATTCGAGTTTGTGCTGCCTTTGACGTTAGGATGTTCTTGTAGAGCTAGCTACTTTTCTACATACCTTGCACGCAAAAAGACAGTATAATGGCAAAATGAGAAGAGCCAGCGCTTGTACGTGAGTCAAAACCGCTGTAATTCGGGAGCCTGGATTTCTCAAAAGGTAAGTCCTTTTTGGTATTGGCATTGCCAATGCACAAACCGCAAATGGCTTGAACATCCAGTTCCAGTTCGGCATCAGTCCCACAGTTGATATGAGAAATCAAGATGGAACAGATCTTGCAGTACTGTAGAAATAAGGTTCTAGTACATGTTTATATTGCAAAACATCTGTATTTTGTGACTTCATAAGTGCCCACCGGGTTTAGAGACACTTTTGAAGATCATTGCTCATCTAGTATGGAATGGCATCTTCAAAAACATTGCGCACCTAGTGAATCGAACACAAACATCTAGGAATCCGGACCTAGTTTCCATGTACTATAGTCTAAACACCTTTTCAAGAACTGTATGTGTTGGCGTTTCTGACTTTTTAGTGCTTAGTCAGTCACTTCAGTACTTATACTACCTACCCATATCAGTGAGTGAGAACCCCATCATAACTTTCTAACACTGAAGATTCGTACATCATCAGATCTGTGTGTGACTAGTGCAAGCACATGCTGTTGCTGTTTTCGAGCTATTATATTGGGACTCGATCACAGTCATACAATAGTGACTTCCGCAGTTGACGCTTTCGAATTCAGATCCTTCGATTTGTTCCTAGTGACAACTGCTTTTCAGGCTTGCATACAGGCGTGCTTGATTCTTTCGCCTTTGAAGATTTTATTTTCCGAATCTCGAAGAAAATGTGGAAGTAGATAAAAATATGATGTTGCGCAGTACTATGTTATGAAATCGTAAAGTGGCAACTGCCATTGACTGGGCTAAAAGGGTAGGTCAGATGTATGGTAAAAATTATCCTTTAGGAAAACATGATGACAAACCGTCCTTCTTGTGGAGGAGGTAATTCATGCACCGACTTAACGCAACCTGAAGCGATGCCATATGAGGCTGCGACAAATGAAACCATTCTGCTTCTATGATCATTGAAGAGCGAGTTGTCAAGACCGTTGAAGCGCATAGCAGTCATCATTATAGACAGCATTTCGAAGCATTCAACTACACAAAATGATCAAAACACTCTGAAATTGCGCTGCAGTGTGCCTATTCCAAAGGATTAATCGATCATCAAATGCTGTACAACAATACAGCAGAGTAAGAAAGATTCCCTATGAAGGACTTACTCCGACTATTCAAAGTGCGCGAAGGATAACATGCTCTGATCGATTGGCACTGGGGCGCGACTCAGTTTCCCCACCAGTTCCGCGGCCGATTATGGGCGTTCCAAAGTCTCTGACATTCGTTTTGGACGAGCCGCGCGAAATTTGCGTACGAGCGGACTCCTCAATGGCCGTTCGCCCGCTAAGTGCGCTCGGGTGATACGCGAATTTCGCGCCGCTGGTACGCTGTCACTTCGGCGCCGCTGGTACGGTAATTTCGTGCTTGAATCGCTGATATGACAATTTTGTGTTAACGCCACCGATATGGCAGTCTCGGAAATCAGGTCCGGCTACGAGATTAATCAACACAAAGGTACTATCGAAAACTGTCTATAGGACCACCTTCCGACTATGGCCTTGTGTAAACCTTCTGTAAATATTGTAAACACATTGAAGTCAATCAGCATTGAGGGCAGCCTAGCCATTGCGTCGTACCTTACGCAAGTACCCTTTACGCTTATAACGTGTGAAAATTACGCCATAGTTTTTGTGCACTTAAAAATGAAAAAATTACAACCGAATGCATAAATAATGATCGCGCACAAACTCAAACGTCTTTCGTTGACTATGGTAGCCCTGAACATGTGGACCTGCCTGAAAAGCTGCAGAAGCTCAAAATAGTGGTACGCGGCTCGTACGTTTGAAAGCACGCGGCCGGTACTGCTTGTCAACTGCGCGCCAATCGTACTCGTGCACGCCGAATTGAAGGGAGATGGTCAAGAGGCGCGATTTCTCTGGCTGTCACCAACTTAAAACTCCAGTTGAGTGTTATGCGAGTTTTCAAAAATTACCGGATAAAGTGCAGTAGCTTACTATCCGTCTGAGGTCACCATTTACTGAGTTTCATGGTTTTTGCTATAAATCGGACTGAAATATTTGCGAATTTGTTGTGAATTGCATTTTCATGAGTTTTTGACCTTCAAAATTGCTCTTTTAAATTTTTTCTAGAGCATCAAGATTGAACAACTCATGCAACTACCTAATATATCTTCTTCCAAATTTCATATAATTTTAGAAAGTTGCAAAACACTTATTATTCGCTATTTGGTGTCCAGCTGGCAATAAAAATCGCGCCTCTTGACATACACCCCGAATTGAACGCCGCTCGCATAGAGTGGGAGGGGGGAGGGGAGGGGGGGGGGGGGTGCTGTGGAACGCCGCTGATCCTAATTTAGACATTATGGTACGCGGCTCGTACGTTTGAAGGCACGCGGCCGGTCCTGCTTGTCAATTGCACGCCGCTCGTACTGATGCACTGCGAATTGCGCGCCGCTCGTACTCAAATCCGACTGTGTCGCGCCGCTCATACGCTCGACAGGCGCGGGTCGTAGGAATCGTTATTTTTGCGCGCCGTTCGTCCGAAACGAATGTCAGAGGTATCGAATGGAGCATTGCAAAGCAGTGGGAATATCATTGGAGCAATGTTCTACATCTGCTACACCGAAATAGCCCCGACAACCTGTCAAGTCTCCTAGTGTATTCTTACGCCGACAACACGGACAAGCTTGGTGCGCAAATACGTCATTTGTCGTCGTGTTCTGTGCCCTTCGTGCAGTTACACAACGTGCCTAGAACAGCTGATCATCTTCCATTGTCTAAATATAACCTTATATGTTCTACTTAAACTTGAAGCATTGACTTTGATACTTCCGCCGCTAAAAATAGCCTTGGCTATCTGCCAAGTCCCTTCCTAGTGCATTTGAAGGCAGACGACACCGGCATGTTTGTCAAACGTCATTTGTCGTCGTGTTCTTTGCTCTTCATGCAGTTACAGAACGTGTATAAAACAGCTGATTGTCGATATATAATCGTTATTATCGACTGATCATATGTTGCCCCTTTTGTGTGTTGCCTTTTGTTTTTAGACAATCGGTCGTAACGAGTTCTTCTTTATTCCTATGCGTTGCAGTCGAGCGTTGCATAGACTAGTTTTCAGTCCATGAATCATGGGAAACGCAGAAGCTAAACCAACAGGACGCCATAAAGGTTCGAAACATGGAAATGTCACTGAAACTGTCGATAAGCGAGTAGAGCAAGCATTTGTCAGGCTGGCAGGAAGCACATCGAACTCTTTGACTTTCGGTGATTTGAAGGTGAGCCTTGTTTTCAAACATTTTTCAATTTCAAAAATCATTTGAAGATTTTCTTATCTTGTAAACTTACTGGATATCAGTTGAATACTTCTGTTTTTCTTCGGCAAAAATTTCAGTGACTGAATAATTCTTACTATAGTATATCCTCGAAATGTGTGTACTTACAAAGTAACTCAGCAGACGCTCATAGCGAATCTCATAAGCTTTGTATGCACCACTTTCCCTTATGTCTATGTGATTGACCTGAATCATTGACCTGAACCTGACCATTTAAAAACCAATGTTTAGTACAACTTGCACATGTGGGTGGAAGAGGTGCTCTGGTCATTCACCAGAAAACAGTTTCGACAGGATGTGTGCTCTTCCGATCTCGCGTAGAAAAGATTTAAAAATGATCACTAGCAGAGAAATATACTGGATGGCGCGTCCTGACATCAGACTTTATTCTTTCGCTTTTAGGGCATTTTTGGTGAAAGCGTGGCGGAAAGTTTATGGAACTTTCTCTCCGATTCAAAGCCATATGATGCCAAATTGAGTTTTCAAGAGTTTTCCCAGCATGCTGTTAGTCTTATGGGAACGTCTACTGATGTCTACATTATGGGTGAGTGTTGATGATAATCTTCTTCTATTAAGTGTTTTTCTGTAGTGCACCTGTTAGTTACATTAAGGCTTACTTTTACAGCATTTCAACCTCTTCTCCATCTCATTAAAGTCTGCTCGGAAGCTGCTGGAGCGGGCGCTGTAGCCGGCGATGAGCAGTTTATCGCAAATCTTGCAAAGGAGATGGTGAGCATGAATCTGTTATCTTTCAAGATAATTAATTAAGATAACAGCGAATTCGCTGTTTGAAACGCTCCATACCATTTTGGACTCAAGATTTGCCCATAATACTTGGCCTTTACCCATTCATCGTGTCGTAGACATCAATTAGTGGGTTTAGCGGTAAATAGTGCCTATGCGGTGGATACAACACTTGCCCGTCAAGATGGGGCATCAAGTGCAGATCAAGTTGCGCGCCCCACTCTACGCGCAAGTATTGTCAACAACGCAAGAATAGTATATCAACAGTCAAATATAATAAGACTTTAGCTGGAGACAATGAGATGTCCCTTAGCTATTTACATTTCTGTCCCCTCATTTTGTTTTGTTTTTTGTTTTAGAGCGCAAGCGGTTCTAACGCACACGCCATTATAACTTGGAAGAATGCCATATGTCCAAAGTTCTGTCACGCCTTGCAAGAACGCATTTTACAAGAATGTTTAGGGTTGAACTTTGTAAGTATCGTCCATCGATTGGCTTATTATCGTACAAAAGCATTGAATCAAAGATTTCTCTAGTTTTCAGCCTGTAACTGACTACTCGTCGGACATACTAACCCCTATACAGATGTGGTACGTTCGTTGCTCTTTGCCAAGCAAATACTCAGTCACTGGTACTTCGACGAAGGTAAACATTGCAACGTTAGCATTTTCTTCAAATTCATTCTATTGTGTCTTTTTCGGAATCGGATACTAACCCAAAGCAGTGGACTCCATTATACTCCAGTGCTACCCAAGGTATCAGTGTAAATCGATTTGAAGCTAACGTCTTCGACTATAGAGGTCCCACCGTAACCATTTTCCAACTTACTGATAAGAGCATCTTCGTATTGGCTACAGAAGAGACATGGAGGTAAACTTTGATACTTTTATGCTAGACGAAGCAGGAGTTGTTGCGTGTTCAGGCATGGTTCTTCACGATTTGGCGGACCGGATACAATGCTCTTCCAAATAGCGCCAAAATTAGAGAGGCGGGAATCCTCTTCTTCCATATACTGCAATTTCAAGATCAGATCAGCTGCATTTGGACTATCGTTCGAGGATGTGCTGAAAATTAATAAGGACATGGACAATGTTGAAGCTGCTGAGGTAAATAGTCGTTGATATTTTGTGGACGTATGAACTCCAATTAAAGACAGAAACCAATGTCTTTTCACAGTGAGCACACGATTATGCCTAGCTCGCTGCTCTATTATCCGCAAAGATCGACTTTTTTCCTTCGCGGAGATAAAATTTTTATTAAGCCGATGGCTCTTGAATTCGAATTACTCGGATTAATAAATTACAGCTGAGTAATGGTAGTATTATCGGTAGATCCTTGCATAGATTGGCTCGTTTATCAGACTTTATTTTGGTAACGCCATATGATTCACTTGATTCACTTGATCCATTCCGCTATCGGTCAGATCGGTGAGCTGACCAATAGCAAAGTGGATCAAGTGGACATCCCTTCGGCATTAGTCAATCAACTGATCTGACCGATAGCGAAGTGGATCAGGTGAATCAGCTATTGCGTGCCTACGCACTGCATGCAGTTACACACGTGCGCTCAGCTCATGATCGTTTCCAATCTTGTCTGACTCATTCTCACTTTGCAGTTTTCTTACTCGTTGGTCTTATAGGTCTGGGGATGTGCATCATCAAATGCATTGGAAGATCAGCAGAAACTGAGAGCATGGCAGAATAAACAGGCTGAGAAGCACAAAAAAGTATGAATCGTTGTTCATCGTCGTATCTGCTTAGCCAAGTACTTGCAACTCTAGGTGCCACTCCCTGGAAACTGGGACGACAATCCTGATAAAACACTCCTTGAAATGGCTGGATTCCAATTTTCCGACGAGAAACGTAGAATGGAATTAGATGCTAGACAGTAGAAATTGGATGTTTTGGAATGTACATGCCATGTATGTCACTTTGTACAGTATTATACTAGTTACTAAAAAGTCTTGTAATAAGAATTTAATATTCTCCTTGTATACCAATAAATCATTTATCATAAAGTGCTCAAAAGGCATGTCTATGCAGGAGGTGAAAATTGATCAAAGGACAGCCAAGTATAGAGGCAAAGCTTGAGGCTGTTTGCAAGAGGCACTTCATCATTTGTAAATTAACTGAACTTCTTCTTCATCTTCCAAACATATTGGGAATCAGTTTGACAGAAGAAGTTGATAAAGTCCCAGATGTGGCCATATACATCAGTCGAGCACGATATGAATCATGAACTTATTTGGCAAAATTCAGTGTTGTCAAAAGCAACTTCGAAAACATCTAACAAGGAAAGGATACTTGGTGACCGTGGCTTTGAAATGAAACGTACACCATTCAATGCATCTTGGAGCGCTGATTCCAAATCTGTTTTCATTATCTGCTGTGCGCTCTAAAGAAGTTATGAACATTTCTTGTCACCGAAATTTGCACTGTTCTGATGCAGAATTCACCAATATCGTTAGAATGGTCGCTTATGCACTACAAAAGAGCGTAGAGATGAAGTAAAGCTTCACGCTAAGTTCAGAAACTGTCACAAATACATCACAGTCTAAAAAGCCTGTATACTGACGACTTTGACTGCCTAAATCTCGCAAAATCAATATGGAAAAAATTCCATAACTTCGTTCAGGGAGTCGCACAGCAGACAGTGAGCATAGATTTAGAATCAGCGTTCCAAGACAAACCTACTGGTATACATCTCACTGCAAAAGACACGGTCACCAAGTATCCTTCCCTCGTGAGTTTATTATCTTCTTCTCTGAACTTCGACCTCAAAAGCCTTTGATATATCGGTTTAACGCCTCCACGCAAAGATTTCCTCATGCCCCAAAAGTAAAAATAATAAATTTTGATTTTAGGCGTAAAAATAAGTGGCGCAATCTGCCATTACGAATTGGAGCCATCTGACTTTACGGCTTATGCTCAGACAAATCTGCGCGCAGGCGGCGCGCACTGAATCAGCGAGCGATGTGCCTTCCCGCCGCCTGTGTGTGCAGTGCGCGCCGCCTATGGATTGAAGGTCCGCCGCCTGCGCGCTACGAGAAAAATTTTGGCAGGAATCTGCTCGGATTTTTGTTGTCGATCTGAATATCTTATGCTTGTTGGACAATGTGGTTTCACAACTATTTTATTAACGAATAATGTTTACAATTTTCAAATTTGACAGGTTTTCAACACAAATTGCAACAAAAATACAGTATTTACAGGATAATGCTGTATTTGACAGCTGGCGTTTAATACTATTAGCTTAGGTAGTACATACAAAATTCAGAGACATTTCAAAGTGAACATCAACAACGTATTTACATTCAAATGTGCTATCAACAAGACGTGTGTATGAAGTAATGAATACAATGAAGTTGATAAAAAATGTAACAGTATGATGAGATGACTTGAAATTACCGCCAAAAAATCACTAAATACTTTGATAAATGACCTGGACATGTATACATAGATATAAATACATAATATATGTAAAAAAAACAAAAAAACAAGAAAAAAAAACAAGACTTACTCCTTTGAGGTTGACTTTTTTCGGCATTCACACATAGCCATCATTGTACTAAGGCTGTTTTGACCTGAATTCAACCTTGCTTTTATATTGTGAAAAAAGAAGAGAAAGAAATGGCAACGGGAAGAAACGAAGGAGGCGCGACGACGCAAGAAAGCGTTATTGATTGAAAATGAGCGTCCCTATGTCACGGGGTCAATATGATTGAAACCAGAGGTAGCACAAAAGATATGTAAGACTGACTGAGAAACAAGAGTGAATTTGGATGGAATAAAATAGGACGTGCTACAAAAAGGCAGAAAAAAAATCGCATACTTGATTTCAAAACAATTTAGAAATAGAAAAAGAGGTGAAACAGCAGAGTAAATGTGAGGTAATAAACAACTCAATACCTTGTATGAAAAAAAACAAGCAGGCACGAGGAGAAACGATTATCTGCAAAAAATTCTGCATTTGCGCGCGAAAGCAAGCTCCCTTTTCGCTTACGTGATGCTACAGAAAGTACAGGATTATAAAAGTCAAACCAACATCGTTTTTGACTTAGGCGTCAAAAAATAAAAAGTGCGTATCGTCCGCAGAGTACGAACTTTGCATTTAATTTGACGCCTAATATCAGAAAAATGAGAGTTCCTCATTTCTGACTGTCTTTTCGACTCGAGTGTATTACGGAACCCAACAGGCATATGCTGAATCTAAGACTCCAAAAAGTACTCCAAAGTGAAGTCCAGCGATCACAATGAACCAATCACGACCAAAATTGGGATGTATGTGTTTTCGAGGTCCTTCTTTTCAGTCACAATGTCTGTTTTGCGTAAAAGTTCAGGACACAAGAGTTACAAACAAATTTTGAAAATCAGAATCCAACGGTTAGAACTAGAGCTTGTTTTTCAAAATTATCTGTGGGTGATACTAGAAACTTGTGGGTGATACTAGAAACTCGATTACGGTCTCCCCTTCCCCGCGTTGCACGGTTCTGACCTCATGAAGGTTTTCTTCGGGCAAAATGCCGCAGGTGCACAAAAGTTGTGACCTGTATTCCATGTAGCCATAACTAGTTGACTGGTATTGTTTCGGAGATGCCTCATGATTATTCATGGATCCAATATTAAGCAAGATTATTTACAGTCTTGTTCGCTACGAGCTGTGTACCGTTATTGCGAGGTCAGTGATGTCGTAGGTATATTATGTGTACGAAATGTCGAAATAAAAGAACTTATGATTTTGGCATGAGCTCATTATCTAACCTTCACCTTGAACATTTTGCTGAAATTGAACTTGAATTTTTAGAAGTTTATTGAAAAAATGCTTATTGTTTTTTGTTTTGCGAACAACCATAGCTAGAAAAAGGAATACATCGAAAACGTATAAATCCCAGTTCTGGCAATGACCGGTCCACTAAAATTCCTGTTCAATCTGGAATACTTTTTGAAACCTCACTTTTAGCTTTCAGCAACAGACATTGTTACTGAAAAGGACCTCAGAAACATAAATCCCAATTTGGGCCGTGATTGGTTCATTGTGATCACTGAACGTCACTTTGGAGTACTTTTTGAAGTCTTAGATTCAGCATATGCCTGTTGGGTTCCGTAATACATTCGTCGAAAAGACGGTCAGAAATGAAAAACTCTCATTTTTCTGATATTAGGCGTCAAATTAAATGCAAAGTTCGTACTCTGCGGACGTTACGCACTTTTTATTTTTTGACGCCTAAGTCAAAAACGATGTTGGTTTGATTTTTATAATCCTGTACAGAAAGTTCATTGCGCGCCGCCTGCACGCACACTGTGTCTGCGCGCCGCCTGCGAACATGCATTGCGTGCCGCCTGTTGGCTGAAATCAGTGCGCGCCGCCTGTGCGCTGCAGGGCCACGCCCACAAATCACGGCGCGCCGCCTGCCCTGCTGGCCGTGAGTGCGCGCCGCTTGCGCGCAGAATTGTCTGAGTGATAAGAGTTCGACTTAGGCAGGCGCCATACTTGATCCGCTTGATCCACTTGATCCGCTTGATCCGCTTCATCATTGGTCAATTCAGTGAATTAACCAATAGTGAAGCGGGTCAAGCGGATTAAGTGAATCAAGCGGATCAAGTATGGCGCGTGCCTTAGGCTTGAGTTTCTTCATTAATTTCCGTCTTTGCTCTTGTAGTTACGCTGTTATCTCGTATCTAGAATGTGCAGAAAGTTGATTCAAACGTTCTATTATGGCGGTTGGCTTTCGTATTCTAATAATTGTTTTGAGTTAGCAGTCTCCTTTCTTTGTTGTCTTTCCCGCAGTCTGCGGCGTAGAGGATGAAGAAAAACCTAGTAACTCCATCCCTTTGATCAACTGCAGATTCAAATGCGCATGTCTGAATCTGTGCAATACAAAATATCCCACAGTCCGGGAAACTGTTTTAATCTGGGTTTTACCCCTAATTAAAAGTAGTTGATAGCAAACTTGCTTTTCTCATCTTGACATAGTTCCCTGTGGTTCGGGATTGCGAGTACTTGATAAAAGAAATGAGGAAGCCTTCTCACGAGAGCGATTGTTAAAGCAAGACGAAACTCCTTCCCCATGGGCGAAAGAGGACGTGCTTTTCCCAAGAAATGTCAGCCGATCGAATTTATCTTTGTTTCCCATCTCTCTGAATCAAAGGTTTGCGCAGTAGTTCTGTGTTGCCGTGCTAAAGCCTGCGTTCAACCCAGCTGAAGTGATACCATAGGAATTCTGTAAAAGCGCCCTTTGAGACTGTATTGATGGCATCTTTCCTTTTATTCCTATCAGTGTTTTCACAATTCGCATGTATTTTGAACCAATTTAGATTAGTTTCATTACAGAATGGCTGCTGAGGCTGAGAGGATAGAAAGGATTCTGAAGGGCTTTGATCCTGTCAGTTGTGGTCTTTCTGAAGATTTCATTTTGACGAAACTCACTGCAATGAAGGGATGTGGATGCAAAGTGCCAAGAGATGTATGTCATCCACTTACTATTTATTTTTCTTTGTAGTTCTTCAGCTATAGAAATTTTTCAGGTTTTGCTTGAACTGCTCAAAACTTTCGACACGAATTTTGTAATCGATGGCGAGGGTGTCGGTAAGTATATCTGATCTTCTTGTTTAGTGGTGTCCATTCGGTGAATCTCACGTTTAGCACCGTTAAGGAATTGGTCTCGACAGTTGTGTTGTGCCACTTCGCCATCAGGGCTTAAATCTCGTTCAAACGACGGATTTCTTCTATCCACTTATCGATGACCCTTATTTGATGGTGAGGATAATACTTTCAAAATATGAATATTTTCAGATCAAATTCTTTGTTTGAGGGTCGTGTTACATGCGCGAATGTTCTGAGTGATCTGTACGCCATGGGTGTTGTAAGTTGTGACAATATGTTGATGCTCCTTGGAGTGGCTGTTGATTTGGACGAACAGGAACGGAATGTCATTGTCCGGATGTTTATCGAGGGGTTCAAGGTAAATTTTCTCTTTCAGGTTCATACGAATCTTGATTAGTACGTATTATTTAACTGCTACAAACATCATCGAAGGGTTTAGACATACCCTACCTTTCTAACCACATTGGCTATTGTTACTACCAGCGCAACCACTGTTACCGCTATTATAGCTTGCTAAAAGCGCTCAAATTTTCTTGATCCTTCTGCACATTACTCATCTGTCCTCACACGTTCGCGCCAGCGTGCTGGTGCTTCTAGGCTAGCGCGGCACGTGTGCGAAAAGAGATGAGAGAATTGTGAAGAGAGATCAGAGAAGTTTGAACGCTCTTGGGCGCCTTCGAGCGAAGTCTGGCCGGCACCTAGTGGTAAAAATGGTAGCAGCGGTAAATTATTGTCAAACTCTATCAGCAGATCTTATTTCCTCGGAGTATGCGTTGACGCCAATGAGTTTTGCCAAAACCTTAAAAACATTTTGAACGCGCTCGAAACGCTTTTCTTCTCATATACATAGAGAACAACCCAATTAATAGAATATTGTTCAGAATTTTATCTTGTGAGAAGATTATTTTAGGATGCAGCAGACGCAGCCGGAACAAAAGTTCGTGGCGGTCAAACTGTTCGTTGTCCATGGCTTCTTCTCGGAGGTGTTGCTACTAGTGTTGCCTCCGATAAAGAAATTGTCATGGTGGATCGTGCACAACCCGGTGATGTCCTCGTTCTGACCAAGCCCCTTGGTGGTCAGGTAGGCTTTTTTACTTTTTACATTGCTTGACTTGAACAGTGATTTGTCTAAAATGTTCCCTGAAATCCCCGAGTGGAGACTGCATCTCTAGGTTTTGAAATACCTGTACCATGTTCTAAACGAAATGTTTTGCTTCCATTCCCGATACTCATGCACCTAGGTCGCTGTGAATTCTTACGAATGGCTCAAGAAGAAAAATGGGCGCGTAGAGGAGTATGGCCTTGATGAAAAGAAAATCATCCGTGCTTATCAGCAGGTTGTAGAGCAGATGACTCGTTTGAACAGGTAGATATTTTGGCTTTTTTGTTTTTCATCTCGTTTATCTGCTTATCCTTTTATTGAAGCATTTTCCCTCATGTGCGACGTTTTCAAATTTGTAACTAGCTGGCAAACCCGGCTTCGCCCGGCCTTATCGGCAATATATTCGTAATCAACTTCTTCTCTTACCCCCCCCCCCTGTGCCAACCCCCAACCCTGTAGCTCAGACTTTGCAAAAATTGGTAAAATCGATATCGATCGATGACGAATGGTAGCCTACGGCACCCTCCCGGCCCTGAAGTATATGTATGCAAAGTTTGGTCCAGATAGATTCGGAAATAAAAATTTCTATTCGGAACATACGTACATAGTACATACAAATAGACATTCAGCTTTATATATAAGATTTCAAAATTTCAGGAATGCTGCAAAAATGCTTCACAAATACAATGCCCATGCCTCTACTGATGTAACTGGTTTCGGAATTCTTGGTTTGTTCACTTTTATCACTGTGTTGTGCATATTTGTTTGAAATTTGCCATACCTGATCTCCTCTAATTGGGTTGCTGACATGCCAATTTATCGAATAGTGATGTTTAGGTCATGCTGATAATCTTGCACGAGCCCAACAAGACAAATTGCTTTTCGTAATCGAGACTCTCCCAATAATAGAGTACATGGATGAAATTGCACGCAAGATGCCAAATGGGAATGGATTCAACTTGTTTGGAGGCACCGCATCTGAGACTAGTGGTGGTCTTTTGGTGGCACTAAGTCCTGAAAATGCAGAGGCAAGCTTCTTATGTGTGTCTTATGACTTATAGCGATGATACTTTCATACAGGGATTCATCAATGGTTTGAAATCGTCGGACGGATATCCAGCGTGGGTTGTTGGTCGCGTCGAGAAGCTCGAAGAAGAATCCAGTCGTGCAGTCATCGCTGAAAATTTCAAAATAATATCTGTACCGTCGAGCATTCATGATTAGTTAATCTCATTCAAATTGTGATGTTCCAATATTCAACTTGATACTCTCTACAGGTTGCTGGCTTACCTATTATTCGTTTTAGTGAAGAGGGGTTGTTTTGAGATTGTTATTGTTGTTACGTAAATCTGTTATGTACTAGCACTAGTTGTGATTTTTGAAGGGGTTTCGGGATGAGCTTATAAATAAAATAGTATTGCGTAAAAATTTAGTTGCATTTGGTTGATCCCAACTTATCTTACAAAAATAACAGCGTTTTATAACAGTATAGTTTTCGACTGAACGCGAGTACTTGCTTTTCCCAAGCGCGCAATTATATATTATCAAAAAACGATTTGTAGAATCTCTGCAGTGAGACCCCTCGTGTTAGTGAGTCATCTATGGATGTTTTGCACCGCAGCAGAAAAAGCAGCTAGTCTATTTCCGCCCGCTTGTTTGCACCGATGCTATGAGTCATCACGCAGGTGTGGTTGTGAAAGCTGTAGTAGTCGAATGTCCTTGAACACTCTACGGCAAGAGGCCCACCCAAGTCATCCATTCATTCCTGCGGCTAGTTCCTCTTATAGTCAATCCCGATTCCCTTTATTCAGACTCTCTCCGTATGCTCATTTTTTTCGTTTGTATCCCAATTCTGGTAGCTTTATCATCAAGACTTTGTTGATGGGAACATAATGAGGTCGCCCACTGTCAGATGGTCAAATGCAGTTCGAGATAAAGCCGTTTTGTGGTATGCCTAAATTCTTCTCCTTTCTCTCTTTCTAATAATAGGGATTCAATCTACTTGTTAAGAACGCTATCCATCGAATATATTGACGAGTGCAGTAAGTAAAATTTCAGTCAGGAAGCTTTTGAAAACTACGTTCGTACTCTAATAAGTCGCCTATGGGCGTTCTTTCACTTTCATCTTATGCTTTAGGATGAACAGTGAACTGTCGTAGTAACTGCTCCTGTTTTGAATTTTGAATGTCGTCACAGTTTCTCAAAATACAGGTGGTAATTACTCTCTTGCAGATGCACTTTGTCAAGAAAGTCCCTACAAGTGAAGAAGAAAAGGCGGTGAAGGAGAAGGAGAGGTCTATAAAGTTGAAAGTCTTCTGCACTGTTCGAGATCACATATTCGAGAAAAGGAAGAGAGGTAATAGATTCAGCATTTTATATGTTCACATGTAGGGGAGGATTTTTGCAAAATTCAGCTGTTATCGAATTGTAGGTAAACTTGACGATGAAATGCTAAGCCTGACACAGAGGTTACTCGAGAAGAATCCTGACATTTACACATTTTGGAATATTAGAAGGGATGCAATCGAGAAGAAGATTGCAGCTTGGAAAGAATCTCAAGTGTGTTAGTTTTGCCGCTTAAACTTCCCTGTCATCATTGTTTATAGTTCAGTTCTATAGTGCTTCAATATCAACGTTCAGGATAGCGCAAAAGATGATGAGGAAAAAGTTTTGTTTGGAAAGAAGATTGAATATCTCCTTGGTGGTGAACTGTTTTTGACACAAACATGCCTTGAGGTTCGCGTGTTTTGGATTATCTCATTTTTTCAATCGTTTTTATTTGTTGCTAGGCAAATCCCAAGTCCTACTCCGCTTGGTTTCACCGCGGATGGGCCCTAAAAAGGATGAAGAATCCCGACTTCAAACGCGAGTTGGCTCTTTGTGAGAAGGCATTGAAGTTGGATTGCAGGTAAGCATTCCTTCCGCTATAAAACTGTCGAACATCGCTGCCACTTACAGAAACTTCCACACATGGGATCACAGACGTGTAGTTGCTAAATTAGCTAAACTTGGACAAGACGAGGAACTTGAGTAAGTGAGCACTGGTGCTACTTATCCGTTTTCTTCGAAAATCTGCGTTTATAGGTTTTCGAATAAACTTATCGGAGAGAATTTCTCGAATTACTCGGCTTGGCACTATAGAGCTGTGTTGTTGCCAAAAATGCAAAATTCTAAGACTGGAGAATACAAGCTCGATGATGACACTGTTGCTGCTGAATTGAAGGTAATTTTTCATATTGTTGCTTCTGAAGGTTATGTTTCTTCCTTACCTTTTATCTTACTTTCGTAAAATACTCTCTTCTTTCTCTCTGAATCTTAAAATTTTGTTTTTTAGAAAGTAACTTCGGCATTTTTCACTGACCCGGAAGATCAAAGTGCATGGGTGTACAGTCGATGGCTTCTCGAAATGGGATCAGAAAAGGAGTTCTGTAAGAATCTTTTCGAAGTGATTCCCTTACGTCGAAGTTGGATTTCTTTTTCAGTAAGGCCCGATTCGTTGTCGCCAGCTGTACCTCTCACAGTGTCTTTCCATGGAAATAATACTACTGTGGTCATGTCGAAAGCATGTACTCTCAATGAAGTCTTTCCTTACGTAAATTCTCTCGAAGAAACGGAGTGGAGAGGGGTAATCTTTTCGATGGTACAGTATGGTCCATGATGCGATGTATACATTATGCTTCTAGGTGTCAGCTCTCTCATCCAATCCAGAAAGTGCGAGGATATGGCAGTGCATGTCAGATAAAAGCTGCATTGTTCAACTCAACCAGGAAGACAATAAAGATCTGATTGATGTCTCTAAGAAGCCATATGTCAATAAGGTGGGCGTTGTTTTTATAAAAGGCAATTTTGAATGAGTTGTTGAGACCATTTTCCCTTTTTGTTATCTCATTTCTGCTCCAAGCTCATTTTTTTTTTGATTGTCATCAAGAAGTGACGGTGAGGGAGGAGAAAGATTTCTAATTTTAGGCTTTAGGGTTGAGAGTTAATTGTGCTACAAACTGTGATGGCTTCCTCGAAATCATTTTACCTGAATTTTTTTAGGAACTTTTACGACGAGCGTTTGATCTGACCAGACGTGAACCCAATGTTGCCATCAAATCCATAACAGATAACTGCAAACAGCTAATGGAAATGGAACCGCAAAATATGGTAATCAGTTTTTCAGTTAGTTCTATCCAAAATTTTATCTTATATATAAAGCTGAATGTCTCTTTGTCTGTATGTCTGTCTGTATGTATGTATGTGTACGTATGTTCCGAATAGAAAATTCCATTTCTGAACCGATCCGGACCAAACTTGGCACACATACACTTCGGGCCCCGGCGCGTGTCATAGGCTACTTTTTGTCATCGATCGATATCGATTTTATCGATTTTTTGCAAAATTTGAGCTACAGGGCTGGAAGTTGGCACAGGGGGGTAAGTGAGCATGGGGATTCCGAATACAATATTAGTTTTTAAAATCGTGCACTACTTTTATCGACTTCATCGATTTTTTTGCAAAGTTTGAGCTACGGGGCTGGGATTTGGCACAGGGGGGTAATCGAGCATGCTGATCACCCCCGCGGGGGTGATCAGCATGCTCGATTACACCTCCTGCCAAATTCCAGCCCCCTAGCTCAAATTTTGCAAAAAAATCGATAAAATCGATAAAAGTAATGCACGGTTTCGAAAACTAATATTGTATTCGTAATCAGCATGCTCGATTACCCCCCTGTGCCAAATCCCAGCCCCTAGCTCAAATTTTGCAAAAAATCGATAAAATCGGCATCAATCGATAACGAAAAGTGGACTGTGACACCCGCCGGGGCCCGAAGTGTATGTGTGCCAAGTTTGGTTCGGATCGGTTGAGAAATGGAATTTTCTATTCGGAACATACGGCGGAGCCGGGTAAGCCAGCTAGTTTTGTATATTTTATGTTTTACACAGCAGTCTCTGTTTGTCATCTTTATAGCAGCCTCTCTGTCATCTTCATAGCAGTCTCTTTTTGACTTTTCTTTATGACTTGAGCATCTCAACCTTTTTACCCGTCAGCAGTTTTGCTCATATTTTTGTACGGCAGCACTCTCAAGCTTAGCGCTGGATTATCTGACGTTGTCAACTGTAATCGTACAGCATGAGATCTCTTGATATGTAATAGATGAAAACATCAGGAAAACATTCCAGTGCTGAGCCTGAGAACGCTGCTCTTACATTTTCTACTGTAGATATCGTTTTTAGTGGGCGCGTTATATGTACACATTATGTTTGATGGAAACGCAACCAGCCGAGTCCCATGAGGAAATCTTGTCAAATCTTGGTAAACTGGCTACGGACCTTGACACGAAGCGAAAAGAGGTAATTCTGTATCAAGTCATGCTTGTTATAGCGTTATCGTCTTGCAGATCTACAAAAAGTTGGCTTCCCGTCAGATTTTGAATAAGGTGTTACGATCAGAAGTTGAAGGTGAAGCGTTATTGGAAAAGCTTATGAAAGGAGAGGAAACCCAATTAGCAATCAGAAATGCAAAGATCTCAAGGTTGGTTTTACTTTTGGCGGTAATCTTTCTCAATCAGGAAAGGCAAAAGAAAACTGCTCCCTTCTAAGTAAATTCTACTATCCTTATGGCAGGCTTGAAGAATAACTATTCGTTGAATATTGTTTATAGTTTTGGATATCAAAACTTTGATTTGTCCTCGAATAAACAAAGGATTTCATTTAGCGTAATTTTTATTTTCCTAGTCAATTTTTTTAGCCTGGATGGCGTCGAATTATTGGCAGGACTGGTAACAAACCTGGATGTGAGCGGTAATGAGATATCATCTCTAGACGAGGTATTGCTGCCAAATTTGGAATATCTTACCGCGAATGAGAATCCCATTGAAAAGTATGTCATTTTCTTATTATTTATTTATTCGCGACTTGATTTGCTGCATATTTTTTTAGATTGGCTCCGAGTGTCACTCTTTGTAACGTGAAGTTCCTTTCATTGGGATATTGTCCAGTGAATGAAGTAAACTGCATATTACCAGCACTAAAATCCATGTGCTCACTGGAAAGATTCCTTTATTGTGAAACTCCACTGGTGTCGAAAACTCCTGAACTAGGTAAGGAACTGCCGAATGTGAGACTCATTCCTCATTATCTTTGAGCATTATTTATTGACTTTTCCACATTACTTACCTTATTCTGCCATCGTTTGTTAATCTGTACTTACAGCATGCATCTCTTCTTTCCTATTTTTGCATTTTTCATAGTTGTTTGACATATAAAAAATACATTAGAGAGTTTCAAAATAATTCCAAGTTTATACGTTGCCCTATTGCATTCTGTGATTGATTTTTTACATTGATAAATTATTTATTCAATCAGATCATACTGCACATATGAACTATAATACCCGTACATGACTGATTTTCGTGAGGAATACAGAGGAAATTGCTTGAAAATTGGTCGTAAAACACAACCCGAATGCAGATTATACGTGAAGAAAGACGAGATCGGAAATCACAGAAGAGTTTCCTTAGGAACGTTGAGGTCAATGTCCTCACAAGATGCGGTCACTAAAAAGTGCTACCAAATAATCAAATGAAAGCGCCTAACAAAAGTATTCTTTTCCACCAGCCGGCATTCCATTCACAAGCGGTTCCTCACTTCGTGATGGACTGCATTCGCCTTCGTTTGTCTTGTAGACACCTTCAGGACGAGAGCGCATATAGCAGACAAGGATCGACAGAAGTAGCGCAAGAACACCAGCTATGGCAAGGCCAGCTATCGCTGAAAGAAAAAATTGATTGGCAGGTAAGTAGAGTACAACAGTGTCTTTTATGAAACTCTTTTGATAGGTTAGTTGGGATTGGTGATTCAAAACCACTTTAACTTTTCTAATGTAGCTTGTAAGTGTTTTCGTAATGGTGTGCAAAGTCATGATGTCAGTTACATAAATTTGCGCTAGCGGGGTTCACAGTCTGTATCAATCGTACTGTCCAGCGCATCCGCTTCGCGAGCTCCTCGCACAGCGTTCGAGTGTGATTGACTTGAGCAATCAGAAGTCACCACGCAAGACCTTCGAGCTGCGAATGAGCGAGCGCAAGCGAAAGGAATGCTACCGCGACATACTGTAGTTCAGGAATCGCTGCTTTGCAAACATGCGCTTAGTTATATATCCATATTTTATTTTTATGCAGACAGCTTTTTAGCTTTTGGTTTGGAACCTTCAAAAACACTAGCCAAATTTGGACGAAAGCGCATAGTTTTTGTTGCGTAACGGGCGCGAAGCAATAGCGCACTCTACCGCTGGAGCGAGCGTGCATACTAGGGGCCAGGTTTGGCCTGCTTGTCCGCCGCGTTGCGTGCGCTTTTCTTATGTGCGCATCCGCCTTCGCCGGGCACTAGCTTTAACTATAGAAAAAAGCGAACTTACAAGTAACTGAAATAATATGACTCTTGGCGTGAGCAATGGCATAAATGTGTATGCCCTCGTCATCTGGTGGTCGTGTAACCGGTTGTCGTATGTCGCTGAATTTTTATGCATTATAAAATGTAGTGGAAAGAATTTTATCTATCTCACATAATGTCCATGGAGCAACTTCCAAAGCGAATTTTCCCCGAATGTTTCAATCTGGCAGCTTTCGGATTCTTTAGGGGAAACGACGAGCCAACTTGGAGTCGAGATACACAGCCGGTATAGTCTGAAAGCGAATGTTGCCATACTGTTCTACTTTAATTAATAGTAGCCCTACTTTTGTCCAAGAATGTCCAAACATTGAAATTTTGAAAGAATGTCCAGTTTCCTTCAAAATGTATTGATGGCTCGCCGTCGACCTTGAATACTGCGTTTTTTGATTTGTTATATGCATATTGCTGACTACATACAGCGGCGGTCTAGGTGATTGGGGGACGGGGGGGGGGGGGGGAATAAATTAGTCATGCCCTCCGATCCGAGCAGAATTTTTTCTTACAGCTCTACTTGAATTCTTATAACTCTAGAAAAGTTTTCCGTTTATGTAAAATCTTATAAATTCCTATCATTATAATTCAAGAAAGATTTCTAGGTCGAAAATTTTCTCAAATTATTTCTTACGTGGAAAATTTCCTGTGGACTTCCATTTTGGGCCTTTGATGGAAGGGTTGCTTAAATCAATATTTTTTTTTGAATTTTTATCATCTAAGAGACCATCATATAGCTCAATTAATTCAATTCCCCTATTCCGTTGACATTTTTGTAAGGATAACTTATTGAGATAAGGGTTCTTCTAGAATCGCGTTGAACGCCTACAAAAATACCCTACCCTTTCCCGCGACAAACCCAAAGCGGGAAATAAACATACACTGAACTTACCGTAAGGTTGAAACTCGTCTCTGAAGCGCAAAATGCTATATCATGCAGAATATTATCGCTGAGATTCCATCGTTTCTCAACATTTTTATGATTGAAAAAGAAACCATCGTACACTGACAGGGTAAGGAATCCTAAAAGAAATGGCTTATAACTGGTTACCATGATAGAAAAATATTTCCTTTACCTAGCGCATTTACAGACATGTTGAAGGTCGAGTCAGCAAATAGTGCTTTCGATTTTAGGATTGAGACATTGTTGGACAAAGTTTGAATGGCTATTCGATGACAATTGTTTGTATGTGCTGGATTTTGCCAAGGGATTTGCAGTGAGGATCCGGCCGGAACGAACATACTGTATTCTGCAAAGGAAGGCGTTTAGAGACCAGAGGAAAACATGAAATCGGAATAGGGCGGACCTTTGCCACAGTCAGCGCCACCAAAAGGTGTTCGATTACAATCACAACTATATCCATCATACTTATCGATACACTCCCCACCATTTTTACACAGTCCTTCACGACAGTAACCTTCATCTCCGATGTGGATACCTGAAAACAAGACTACTGCCTTTGCCAATGTCACAAGGCGGCGCCGTAGTTGACCTATGAACTCGCACGGTTTAGCAAACACAGCGCGCTAAATAACGCGCAATTGACGTTTGATGTCGCGTAAGGGAAAATTGGACTCTTGTTCGCAATCGCGGTGGCGATGTTTTTTCCTTCTTTTAGATTCAAAATTTGCTATCTACTCGTTGCGCGTTGGTTAGTTTTTACCCTCACTAGCCTTGTATCAACTTTGCTTACGCGACACCTGATGACAATGGCGCGTCATTTAGTGGGCCGCTATGTTGAGCCAGAACGTTTTGAGTATGAACATCGTTTGAGCTTACCCTTATCATAATCTTTCCTTGCTATAGTGCTCAATGATAATTCTTCGCCGCATAGGTGAATGCTTCGTACAACACCAGCAAAGCCAGAAAGACCTCTTTCCGTTCGTGATCCTACAAAATAATTCATTAGACTCGAGTTTTTTGAATTGTTCCAAAAAATGAAGATTGATCTGATCACATAAAACTGCTATGATTTAGGCACAAAATACAGCAAAAATCTGCTTTCAATCAAGGATTGGTGTCTAAAAAAATCGCATAAATTACAGTGTGATGTCAGCACTACTTTCAAAAAATTTGGTAGGCATGATCGTTTTTTCGGATTTTTTGTTGTTGTCTTGAATGTTACCGTTTCCATTTCAAAAAAGCTGATGGGTTTATGATTGGGTCAAAATTTGCTTCTTTGCTTTTCAAGAAATAAATTTTCGACGATGACATGGCTGTAACTTTGATACAAAATTTAAAAACCATCTTTTTTTATCAAAATGATTTTTTTTCATTCTACATCAAAATTCTATAAAATAATACATTTAGGAACTGAACTGTTAATAGCCTCAAAACGTATTAGATATCTCTTAGACGATCGTCTACTCCAGGCAAAAACCTCTACCGTAACCTACCAATTGTCCATTGATGTGCGTTTGGTAAAATAAGCGTTGAGTTATTTTCAGCCATTCTACCATCAATTTTCAGTCGCATTCCTCGGCTATCGGCTTCCCAGTAGATCGAATGCCATCTACCATCGTTGTAAATAGACTCACTAACCACTTGTGCTGTTTCTCCACCGTTCACAATCTCGCCGACAATTTTTCCATCTGGAGAAAAAACATCAAATTTTTGCAGATAATTTTGTAGAATATACCTTGTACATATAAATGCAGCCAATGCAATGAATCGACACTTTCCCAGGCAAAAATGCTCATATGTGGATGAGAAAATTTCGCCTGAAGCCAAAGATCGAATGTTCGAGAAGATAAAGTCCGCACACCAGATAGACGGACATTGCGATCCGAGAATGTCACGGATTCGAAAGACACTAAATACACACCAGTTGCAGAATGTATGGAATTTGGGCGATTATAAAGGTTCTGCTTACCCCGTCGATTACATATCAGTGGGCCAATCTCCACCTCTATCGATGAGGTTTTTGTAGTGCCACCCAGAAAAAGGCCAGTCACTGGCAGTAATTGGGAGTATGGATTCACTCCTTCATCTGTCGCATCCTCTCCGGAGTCACAATTGCACATTCTGAAAAAATCGAGTGAGAACGAACAGACTAATAAACATAAATTGTAGGAAAATTTGTTGAAAACAAAACATAAGCAATGAAATAACTAGTAGTTTGCAGACTTTTACCTCGACAATTTTTGAAGAGTTGGTCGTAAAATTTGTTTTGGACGGGGCAGAAGGAATGGGGGGAGGGGATAGGAGAGGGAAAAGGCAGAGGAGGAGCAGCATGAATTTGATGGTCCAAAATCTACAGGATAAATAAAACATTCCCATCAGACAGTCTTCGAATCTACCATAATCCAAGTTTAACCCTTCCTAATCAATATACGATTTTCTGCCCAGGACCAACGATTTCTCACCTATTATGTAGACAAGTCCCATTTGTTGCACATGAGCACATTCGACTGTAGGGTGGTGCATCGCCCCACTGTAATCCGTGTTTGTCAGACCGGGTAGCATACCAAGACGATGGTGAACGCTCGTCTCCTTGCGTCATCAAACGTGCTCCACCGCGACACGTGAACCGCATATACTGAATAAGACAAAATCGATTGGGTCCCGAAGAAGTAGTAAAAGTTTAGCCTACCTGTGAACAAGACTCGAAACCTTCAACGAGTCGATCCATTTGTTCTGTATTGATGCCATAGAGTAGAGATTTTCGCACAACTCCGGGATTATTATTTCCAGTGACAAAAATTGGCCTCGTCAAGTCATGCTGCACGATTGTGGTGATCTAAAAGAAACAATTTTTTCCTGTCTTTCAGCGATGTTATAGACTTAGAAGCACTATTCAGGGATTCAGGGAGATATAGACACAATCGAGTCAGTAATTAAGTGTTGGTTGCAGAACATGCGCGGTAACTACGGTCTATGTGCTTATAGGCTGTAAATTTCTCGAAATTCTTTTTCGCTTTCCTTCATTTTTAGTGTGGTTAGGTACTATTGTGCAATTGACCGTTTCAAAAGATTGCTTATCAAAATGCATTTTACTCAAACCTTTGATTCAACTGGATTGGCGGCCGGAGGGCGGGTCTTAGTGACCTGATTGAAGGCCGCTCGCGCCCGCGACGCAGTCTGCGTCTCTCTCGCGCCCGTGCTCTGATCATTCTCTAGCCTTGACTAGGTCACGAAGCTCCGCCTTCCAGCCGCCAATCCGGTTGAATCAAAGGGTACATTTGATGGTATGTAACCGTGATTCGTCAAGTATCGCGTGCAATCTCACATATTTACTTGGAAATAACTCCATTATACATACGGCCGTCAATAAGCTACTGCTTAGTGGTATCTCATATGATTCATCCATGTTCGAGGAATCAACTCCAACGTGCTACCAGTACCGTAGCATTTTGAAGCGGACCAATCAGGGTCCTTCGTTACGGTACTGGCTAGAGTTTAGAGCTACTTATCTCTGCCACGAATGGACTTCGGGTTTTTTTTCAATACAGTCCGTATACGCTCTTATACTGGTCGTACAAGTTCAAAACAATAAAATGTTGTTTTCCCAGTAAAAAAGTTTATCTTACAGGACTAATGCTTCATAAATCTTCCCTTAGATGCTGCCCTTATACATAGTTGATTTACATCTTCAATGTCTTTCATGAACATTGTACTTTCGACTAATAATTAGAGCCATTGTCGTCAATATGCACATCACCATGCCGACAGAGAGTGCATGTTGACTTGTTGTCCGTATACTTCTCTGTTTTAGCTTTTTTTCATGCAAATTCATCGACGCATATGGTTTCATCAAGTAGATCACGTTTGCGCAAAAACAGCCTTCATTGTTTTTTATTGCAGCTTACAATGTACGTCAGAAGAATGCAAAAAAATATTTGTACATTCTGTCGCCGGCTAAGACTCGCATGTTATGGTACAGTTCGTGTTAATCACGTGCTCCCTTTTCCGTAGCGCAGTGAGTTTCGCGCCACGTTCGCGCGCGTATGGCTCGGGCATTCAAATTGGCCTTATCGATTGGCGGACCGCGCGCAGGGCCCTTGCCTTGCGCATGCGTAGGTCCCATGCGAAAGGGAGTACGTAACTGACATCGACTGTAAATAATAGAGAGTGTAGGACATTAAAAAAATCGTGACGATGGAGCGACCGCACGCGACACGCACGCACTCCCGGCAACCGCATTTTTCTAGTTTCAATCTCTACTCGACTGATTTTTCTGCTCAGGTATGATAGTACTTGGACATCGGAAGTGACTGAGCTGAGCGTGGGGTGCTGTTTTCTTGCTTTCTTTATGCTTCTGTGGGCGCAAAGTCCGCAATCAAATCCGTCAACGATTTTATAAATGACCTATAAAAAGTTGGTCAATGACTACCAGAAACTATCTCTCAACATTAACACCAGAATAGGGAATCTGCGGTTATTTTTTGCTACAACATAGCTAACAATAAGCACTATTGGTCTTCCAGAAGACAAAAAAATTTGAGAAGAGCAAAAGCATTAAACAATTTATTTTTCAGAAAAAAATGATACTTTCCCAGCAACTTCTTTCAACTTGCAAGGAGTTACCGTGGCCCAAGTTCAGCATTTCCTTATCGATATATTGATTTCAGGAATTCATTCGATTTCGAGCAACACAATTTTTTATGTGAAAAACAATGGATGAACTGACTAAGTGACCTTCCAAGGCTGCTCATATGATATGTTCAGACCGACAAAAACAACTCAAAACACTCGTCCAGACCGTAATTTTTCTCAATCTGACCAAAGTGACCCCCGAGTATGGCGGTGAGCTCTAAAGTTAGGGTTATATATTTCGGCCAGAATGAATATATGAGCTCGGAAATTCTTTTACTCAAGGCCTCTAGTCAGTCAGTAACAGTAGTAAGTGAGGTACAAAGATTTTGAAAACATAGTTCTAGAATCAAAGTCAAATTGTGAAACGCATGCATGAAACGCATCTTTTTTCACTGGGTCGCGAAGTTTCTAGAAATACTAGAAACTCTATTAGCTTCTCAATGATGTAATTAGTACGGACGTATGGAAACAAATGAAAGATCATATTAAAATATGCTTCTTTACAGTCCTCACCTCCCCCTTTCAGCAAAATTTTTGCTCAATTAAAACTCACGTAAGGGGTAGTCATTTGCGTTGCGCAATAGCCGCCAGTTCTTACTAATTTTGATCACAAAATATGACGCGTTTTTTATAATTGTGGCTTCTTGAGCGTTTGAATTAAATAGAGAATTTTGATAAAGAGGTTATATTTAAACTATTCGCGTCTTGAAAAAATGGCCCTCAACGCCACGGCAGCTTCAAGCTAAGCTGCAAAAGTTTCTTCGTATGTTTTACCCCTCAAGGCAAGTTAATTAATGCTCAATTCGCAATCATTCTTAATGGCTCGGCTACAAATTGCGCTCAGCTGACCTTTGAGCTCAGCTGACGTTTTCTTCTACGTCACAGAACCCATCACTCCGAATAGACACCCACCACATCGACTCCCATGTCGTCTTTCATCATTTTACAAAGTACGGTCATCGGCTTCATCGGTCCTCCGCCATCGAGGTCGATGGTGACATTTTTGCCAGTAAATGGAGGGCGTGTGCGATTAGACCGGGCACTCCACCATTCTTCGCAAGATCGCGGAAGATTCGCTGAAATAGTGAAAAATCATATGGTAATACACAAAATATGAAACATCGCTCATCAACTGTTCGAGAAAATTTCTACAATTTTCAGTATCATCTCTGCAGGACATTTGAGGAAGTTAAGTCGAATCACACACGAATTTTTCTAAAATCTCTGCAGAAGTTCCGCAATGAGATCCACGAAAACTGCCGAATGATAGTCATGATTAAAGCTTTTTGCTCATTGACTGCAAAATTAACGATATTACTTTACAGAAATAGAAGGTTCGCAATGCCACCTACGAGACTTCCGTGAAAATCCTGCGGAAGTTCTGCTTTGAGCTTCATCGAAAACGGTCATTTGATAGTCATAAATTGAGCTTATAAGTCATTGACTGGCTGTAGAAAAAGATTTTGATCCGAATTTTTCGCCGCGGAGGTACAGTGAGATTTCTAAAGTCACTTGCAGAATTTTTGCCAACGTTTTGCGGAAGTGCGAAAACGAGGTCCCTCGTAATTGCAATTTGATAATAATTGCAAGCTTAGACTAATGCTCATTAGTTGCTCGCGAAAAATTCAACAGTTCGCAACTTCCGCATAGGCCCCTAAGAAAGTTCCGCATAGGCCGTACCGAAGTTCCCTTTTCTAATTCCATGACATCATTTTCTTGGGGAGTTTTGTTTTGAGATAATTTTCAAGATCTATTCCGATTATCACATGTTCTCCGGAATTTCCCACCAATGTCTGGGTTTTTATCCCCTTGCTGTCTACATTCCAAACTTCAAAACTATTGATAACATTTTTCTTGGAAGTTTCCTTCAAGTTTGTAATTAACATCATTCACAGGTGTTTTTACCTTCACTGAATGGGAGGTTTGATTACAAAAGTAGAAACTTAACTACCGTTGCTTAGCGACACCTCACGGGACATTGACACACCTCTAGCAAGTTTCGTTTAGAACTATTTGCGTATTCAAAAAGCTCCTGATTTTCTAAGAATAATTTAAGAGCTTGTGAACATTTTGAGTTGCTGAAAAAGTTTAGGAAATTCAACGCAGTTATGAAAATAGCTAAGTACAATTCGCACGAATCCGAATAGAAATTTCGTATTTTATACACAATTTTTTTGAGTTGTTTCCAAACAAGCAAAAACATAAGGATTTTCCTTCTTTCCCAATTTTCCTTCCATTTAGTTCCTTGTTTTACTCTTCCTCATTCGTCTCAAACATGCACATAAATTCATTAGATCCAGGGCATAAATTATATTTTAGGGGGGGGGGGGAGGGTAGGGAAAGGAGGATAGATCTATCAACTGAAGGGGCATGCGTAAGGTATCTGCTTGTTCAAAATTACCTATGACAATTTACACAGTCGGGGGGGGGGGGGCGTGAAAACTGCAAATTTGCAGCATTTTTGCATTCACTGCATTCAGAACTAAGAGAGTTTTTCAAGGGCAACTCATATGGTTTGTTTACAACCGAGCAAATCGACTATAAACTCTCGCCAAAAGGTACACTTTCGAGCTGACCAATCAGCGCCCTAGAGTAAACTGTAGAATACGGTATGGACTAATATTAGATCGTGTTTAGCACCATAGAACTATCAACTGAATATACTTGGGTAGGGGAACGAAAGCCGCCAGGTTAGGCCGCCTCCGCGGACTGCTGGTCCTGGCACGACATGCAACAACACTGCGAAAGGACCAGTTGGCCACGAAAGGCGGCTCAAACTGGCGGCTTTCGTTCACCTACCCAATATACTTCAGTCTCCCTCTTTTTCTCTGTTTCTAAATTTATTCGTCCAATTTATTTTATATCTTTGCTTCAGCTATCTTTTTTTTGCAACATCTTAGAAACGCTCTTTCGACTCGTGCTTTTACTAATTACCAACCATCATTCGTGTCTTTTTACCTTTTCTAATGATTTGATTTGGCCCCTTTCCAGAAAAATGTCATCAATTCTCTACCAAGCTTATCCAATCATCCCATTCATCATCGACTTGCTCGTACTGATTCCATTCTATCGTCTAATCACCATAGTCGACACCTCTGACTATTTGGCGATCTACATGATCGCTGTCAATATACCATTCACAATTCGTCTTGTGCCACAGTACATCAATCTTATCACACCGGAAAATGTCCCACCTCCAATCAGAAGAAAGTTCGTAATTTTTGATAAAATAGAAAAATAAAAGATGAAAATGAAATGCAGTTTTGGAAAGTGGCAAAATGTTACTACTTTTAATCGGACTTTTAGCAAAGTTTGCACACAAATGCAGTCAAAATTTCAGCCACCGTAATCTAGTTTGCTCTCGAGTGGATTACAGTAATCGAAGCTTTTGAATCAACATTTTTAATATTTTTGAACGCTTAGCGCTCAACAATAGGTTTGCTGAAACAGTAAGAGAATAAAATACTTATAAGTGAATTGCTTCTCAAACAAATCGCAGAAATGAGACACGAATTTTCTACGCAATTTTCTACGATCACGGAAGTTCCCTATAGCATCTGCGGAACTTCCTTAAATCTTCTAAAGGCCGATCCTGAGAATATTGCTCATCACGCAGTGGAAAACGGTCACAAAAATTCTCCTGAACTCTTAATCTCGGGATATTCACGGAAGTTCCGTAAGCTATCTGGGAAACTTCCGTAAAAGTTCTGCAAAAAATTTTGTTGCTTAAACTGCTTCGAAAAACTTACTGCGTAACCCGAAACATTTTATACATATTCGGGAAAACCCGCCATTTTTCTTCTTCAACTTATAAGAAACAAAGTGATTTTAGCGACAATTTATGCGTTTTATCGTTTGGTTTTCAAGTCTACCCACCTCTGAAAGGCTGCACTTTGGTGTATAATCTTAGGCGGAGAGATAAAATATTCATAAAAAAATCCTTGCAAATCAAAAATTAACTCCAGCCTCCATTTATTCCTCAAAAGCACTGAAATTTTTCCAATTTCAGCTCCTCAGCTATTCACCCACCACTACCACCACTACCAGCACCGCCACCACCACGTCTACCACTTGGCACCGGGCCAAATTCGGTGTTTTTCGCGATGATGTCGGCTTTTATTGTGCTCTCTGTATGCTACGGTGCTTTCAATGTGCTGCTTGGCATGATACAAGAGATTCGTCGTGGTAAACTAGCATCGAAATGGCACACATGGTAAGACTCCAACTATCGTATGGATTACGTAGAGTACTGTAGAATTTATGGAAATGTATTGTATAGCGTCAATTGTTATGATGTAGGATCGAATACAATCCAGCAGTGACAGACTGAGGAGAGGTGGAGGGGGGGGGGGGGAGAAAATTTTCAGAGCGGTCTTACAGTGGAGTTCCGAAGGAAAAGCTACAGAATTTACGCCTTCCGATTTTTGTGATTACCTTATGATCCAGAAAAATGGAAGAAGGGAGGGGGAGGTCACGAAAAATTCTTTCGCAAAGCTAATGCTGAATATTCCAACACTCAGATAAAAACAAGTCACGCTCAAAATATCTTTTAATTATACTATTTTCAGGGCAGGAAATAAGTATAAGAAAATTAACTCAATAAAAATTGATTTTGCGAGCGTGATGCTAAATTTCTTTTTACAAATTCAGATTCAGCAGCTTAGAACCATATGAAGAGTAGAAATAATTACCCAAAATCTTTGGAAAGTTTGGCCAGCCACGCCCCCAATGCGAGAAAATCATTGCCACTCCCTCTACGAAGATTTTTAGGACCGCCACTGCAATAAAGGTTGCGAAAAATGTTCCTTTTCTCTGAATGTAGATTAAAAGCATAACCTCTTCAGATATTTTTTGAATGAGAAATTTTCATTTTATTTCTTTTATCTAATATATAAAGAATCATTAGCTCAATTCAAAAGTCTTCAAATAACGGGAAACCGCGGCGGGTCCCGAAGCAAACATCCAAATAGCACCTTTAGATTACTGGTTCACTAGTGCAAAAAAATAAGGTGATACTTGTTGCAGTTCTAGGCAAAAACTGAAGTGAATGAGCTTTAGGACCCACATTTTCAGGCTCCCATTCCTGATAATGATGGCACTGATTCAAGCGATTCTTCTTTTTATTTACAAATGGCAAATATTGACCGAAGCTGCCATATTCTTTCTGGTTCTGTACTACATCGTCGTTTGTATCATTATGGCGGTAGGTTTCTACAATTCTGTCAATTTACCAAATATTTCTAATAATCTAAATCAACAAAAAAGCTCCTGAAAGTGAAAACGAGCGAATTTTTTGTAGATTTTCATTTTGTTTGTTGCTACAACTAATAAAGAGTTATTGGAGAGGAAAGGATTACTGTAGCTTTTATCGCTACTTAACCCTTAAAGGACATCTAATTACAAAGTTGACATATGAATTACAGGTGATTGTGAAAGTGCTTCTGCGGCGTAATCGCCCGAACGATCCCACATGGGACAAAAGACGCCAGGGGATTGAAAGCAAATTTCACAGATTTTTGCTTTTCTCGCTGATCACAGTCCTTCCGTCGTTTCTTTACATGAGTGAGTTTTGCCATTGAAAACTGATTACTCAGAGAAAAAATTTCTTATTTTCCAGAAAAATTGTCGATGATGGTGCTTGATGGCTTCTACTTTGAAGCGGCACCTACCCTGCTCCAATACAGTTTCACGGAATACATGTTCCATCCATGGATGTTTAACCTAATTGGGATGACCCTTCTCGACCCGTTCAGGTAAGTACTCCACGGTCCAGTCGCAAACGAAGGCGTATGGTTTGTGGCCGCGAAGCGGGCGCGAGCGCGGCAAGCACGCAACTATCTGCAGAACTCAATAATACGCGCGTTAAGGTGTTATACCGCGTCACGACGAGTACTTTTCAGGACCTGTAGTTTACTGCCAGGTCTTGTATCGCCCAGGGGTCTTTATCATTTCGTGTCAGGACCTGTACTGCTAAACCCTTGTTTTTGCTGCCAAAAACGCAAGGGGGCGGAGCGTCCGTTTCTCTTGAGAAGTTTTCGTTGCTTTTTGCACAATACCCGTATTGGAGTCGAGAGGTTTGCGAGCTCGAGATCGATGACCGCCCGCGCGCCGCGTTCGCGTATACTTCCTTATGTGGACATCCGCCTTCGTCCTGGATCCGACTATGAACGCTCAATGATTTCATATGCTATCAATAATTTCAGAAAATTCACTGTCTGTCATCTGAAACCATTCGAGACCTACTGTCGCCGGTACCGCAGCAATTTGCGAAATGGACCAAGTCCCCTACCAGCAATTTATAAGGTCCCACCACCTTCCTATTCGGACACAACCACCACACAGAAGAAGCCAAGTAGACCGCTACAGATGTACTGAGTGTATTTGCGGAGGATGGCTTTTACAGTAGTTAACTAGCACGTGCAATAAGTGACTGTGCAGTTGCACAAATTTGGCTTCGTACATATCAATTTTTGTGAGAAGTTTGATAGCGGTGAAATCCGAGTTTATGGGAAACACTTGAGTGCAAGCAAGAATTCTTCTCAAAGTTGTGGGGAAATTTTTGATGAATAAAAATTTTTCAAATTTTCAAAATTTTTTCAACGAATGAAGACATTGTAATTACTTCAACTCGTAACATCAAAGACTTTTCTTTTTGTTCGCTCTACCTTTTGTCATCTCTTTCACAATGTTGCTTTTTTTCACTCTGTGCCAAATTTTAGATTTTTTTCGTAAAGACATGGAATTTCAGTGTAAATGCACCAAGTAGTCTCTATTTTTATGCAAGATGTATTTCTTTTCTATATTTACGCAATTTGTTACCTGTTCTTGTTCTTTCCTCTCTTTATAAGCGCACCTCTTTGTTATTGTACATAATGCGGCTTTTGAGTTACTGAATAAAATCCTAGAACTAGTAAGGTAGCTCGTGACGTATGTCTGTAATTGCACCAAATAATACCGGTCAGGACAGGCGGAGATGGCAGAGTATAAGACTTCAGCCGAACTTCGCTTTTTTTCTTTGCCAAAAAAGCCCCACGTAAAAGTAGTATTTGTAATTCACTACACAGATAGATTGCAAGATTCTGGGCAGAAAGTGTGTAATTGAGAAGGCCAGATCCACAAAAAAATTAATCTCAATGGCAGTTTTCATGTGGTTACTGTATCAGCCGCAGGTAGTAATGCGGCGATACAATTAGTTTTTAATGCAGCTGCTGATGTGGCTACGAAAAACTCATTTCCTCGAATGATGGGACATAATAATGACGTAGTTGCTGTCGGTCGCACGCAGACTTTGATGGAAATGGAATGGGAAGGGGGGGGGGGGGGAAGTTGAAGAGAAAAAACCGCGCTGAGGGTAATCCTGAGAATAAATTGACATGCCACACCCGTCTTTCTATCGCAACCATTCTAGAAAATATCAGCAAGCAATTGGCATTTCTTGGGGTCTTAGCAGGACATCATATTTGACATGTTAGCCGGTTCAAGACAGGTTAAGCGGAAGTCGGCGCACTAAATGACAAACATTTGGCATTTAGGGTCTTGTAGGCGAAATCAATGGCGTTGCTGCGATAGTCGCAAGGTGTTTGCTTTCTTTTCCTAACTTCGAATCTGGTCATTTCTTTTTATTACTGGCCATTAATCTTTATTGTTCGTAGTTTCACATTCTTACGTAACTCCAAATGCCAAATGCTTGCCCTTTAGTTGCGCCGCATCTGCTCATAGGTATTGATCTTACAGGTCGAGTACAGCGCCTGCTCAAAAGTTAATCCAACCTATTTTCGTAAGTCCGCAAACACAGAACATTTTGAAGTTTGTCGCCATAACGATCTTATACCATAGTCCTGTACCGTAAACTCACATGTATGACAATTCTTTCCATAGTGTCCATCGGTACATGTACAAGTGTAATCAGCAAGTGTTGTTTGTTGACAAATTCCATCATTTTCACATCGTGAAGGTAAACATCTAAAAGAGTGGGTGGTGATACAAGCGATTATCAGTTTCAGACAATGCGCGGTCTTTGTATAGTGATGCTGAAGAGGGAATTTTTAGGTCAGTGGAAATCAGTGCGCTTTCCCGTAGGATTATTGACGATTACGAATTAATTTTTACCATTTGACAAGAAAACAATACAAAATCACTCAGTCAACCAATACATCTACGAATTAATTTTCTACCTGCAGGTGATTTTTAAAGCTAATGCTGAAGCAGGAAATTTTTTTCAAAAATGCTATAAAAAGAAAAAACGCCAATAAAAATGCACTTTTCCGTGGAACTGTTAGCAAAAAATTGCGGAAATTGATATTTTTCACCAAATATCGCCCCAAATTAGATTGAACATAAACCAAGCCCGATTAGTCATAATAGCCATTTCCATCTAATTAGCATCTTCTCCGCTTCCGACGCATAATTGACGATCGGCAGCACTTATAATTATCGTTGTTTACAAGCTCGTTTTGTTGACGGAAGTGGTAATGAAATGTGGATAAGAGATAAGAAGACTAATCTAGGTATTCACGCTAAAGTTATCGATAGGTGTTTTCACTGAAAATTTTCGATCAATGAGCTAAATTTTGTTACAAAAAAAAATCAGCAATTTTTACGAACTGCTACTTATTTTATCAGTATGCAATTTTTCTTGACCGACGGTGGAAGAGATTTATCAAAAATTTCCTGAATTTCGGCGAAGCGGGTCCGAAAAGAGAGAGGAAATACCCTAGGAAGATAAGTAGGAAAATGCCCTTCGCACCAATTATATTTTTAAAACAAAAAGATCAAGTGGATGTCAAAACAAGTACTGTATTTACCGAAACCTCGTGTTGGCACAACTAACAAATAGAACTGTGCTTACTCTTTGATTCAAGGGGATTGGCGGCTGGAAGGCGACCGCTCGCACCAGCGACGCAGTCTGCGTTTCCCTCGCCAGCGTGCTTTCTGATCATTCCCCCACCCTTATTTAAGCCTCGAAGCCCTGCCTTCCAGCCCCCAATCCACTTGAATCGAAAGCTACTTGTTTGTTTTATATCGTATCATGCAATTCCATTACTCAATAATTTTTTGAAATATTATAGATTTCTACTTATTCGACTATATACTTTTGCTGGTAACCAGAAGAAAGTATTGCATTATTGAAGCAGTATCTTTTCACAATGCTTTAGCAGTACAAGTTAGTCATAAAATTGAAGCAGTTACTTTTGACAATTTTTGTGCCAAAGCAATTTTCGCTGCAAGAGCAAAATTCAGAACATAATATTACTAAAAATTGTTATTCAAAGTAATCTCAAGGATCTGAATCTTTATGACGTGAATCATTGCAATAGTATATCCACCTTTCAGGAGCTTGTGCGCATACCGTAATCTTCGCCCAGACCAAAAAACTTAGGAAAAAGTGGATAAAAAGCTTGGCATAACAAGCGAAGTTTTATGTAACATTTTCTGTGATCTATGATTTATTTCTCTATCAGCTCATACAATTTTGGACGAGAATTTTAGTCTTAAACTCTCGTCCAAGCAGTACTCTTATGGGACCAATCAGCTTCCCGAGTAAGCTAGAGAGTACGGTATTGCGCGAGAGTTCAAAGTAAAATTGCTTAGCCATAAATGCATGTCATGAGCTGCTACTTGGGCAACTTGTGCAGTTAACACTTAAGTTGTACCTAGGATTGCTTGGATTTGTTTACCACTGGGAAAAAACGCATTCTTACCTATCCACCATCTCACAGCTGCCTCGAATTACCGTCCCTTCCACATAAACCTTAGCAAAGTCAATTGTCGTTGAACGATAGCATCCGATGGATGAGAGAACCAACGACGAGAGACGAGCGGACACTCTCCGCACTTCTTGACCTTCCAACCAAAGCACCTTAATTGTTTCAATTGTAGGGGCAAAAATCACATTATATCATGACCTCGTCATGGTCTGAGTACTGTATCAGCGTCATATAATGGTAATGTGTTTTCGGGTGGATCGATTCGGGTGGACATAAGGGGAAGCTAAGCCACGTTAGGGTTAGAAGGCCATACGTTGTTTTGCTCGAGTTGGCCAACAAATAATAGCCATCATCAAGAAATAACTAGAGTCATTTTCTAATGTTTAAACTTTCTATTCATTAACTTTGCGTTAATGAAAACGATCTTTCTTCTCAATAATTTCAGCAAACTGCAAGGACATTTCCCTTAGAAGATTAGAAATTCTGGACTAGAAAAGAGTTCTTTGAACCCGGATTCGGATCTAATTTGAAACAAAACAACACAAATTTGAAAATTTGGAACATTCGATCCCCCTACCCCTAAAAAATCCTTATAACTCCCCAATTTTCATATAGACAACATTGTTAAAAATTAAGATACGACATACCGTATAACCATCAATCTCAACCTCGAGCCGAGGACCACGAATTCTTAGCGAAAAACTATGCCAACCACCATCGGCAACGTCGATTTCTGGAAGACTATGAATTTGAAGGATTTAGGATTAGGTATTCTAAATGGCTGTTTGTAGTAAAAAATAACGCGGAATAATAAATAAAATGATTATTTGGATAATTCAACACCATGTCAGGCAAACTTGGTGTAAAATTTCAACTAATGCAGTTTATGGAAATTGGAAACAAAAGAGGATAATTAAACAACAAATTTAATATCTGAAAATTGAATTTTGGACAATGACTTTTTTGCTCGAGAGAGTAAAGTCTCTTGAATTCAAACAGATCACTCCTTCTCATTTTGGGCTCGGAAACAAAGTTTCGTCATAGTTTTGAGGCTATAGCGAATAAAAAACTTCTCGCTTTAGATAAGATGTAGCATCCATTTTTCAACTTTTGCTACACTCATGAAAAATGGATTATCTCTATAGCTCGAAAGCGACAAGCTCTTGGCCCAAGTAGTATAGTGGTTAGTACCCCACGTTGTGGCCGTGGTGACACAGGTTCGATTCCTGTCTTGGGCAATGTTTTGCAGGGTGCTTATCGTTGGAGAAAAGTGTTCTCCAGTCATAAAATCATAGCCACTTTGATGCTTTATTGCTTTTTTCTCAAAATTATTGTTTTTAAACTAAAACTTAAAACATCAGCAACTCACGTGGATGTGCAATTTGCTTGAATTTAGTTACATTGCTGACAAGATGCAGGGTTTTCGCTTCGTCCACGGTCGTTTGTAGAAGAGTTTTATTGTCAACGTCGATCATATCAAGCAGTATCGATGGTACGGGCAGAATGCGAAATTCGAAAGAGAATGGAAGAAATGAGAACGGAATGATAGCACGGGATTCTTCGTAAAGCGTCAGCGATGGCGGTTTGGGCATCTGAAAGGGTAATTCTAATTATTTTTAAAATTTTTCAAACAATTATGGGAATTCACAGGACAAGCAAGATTTGCAGTGGTTCTGCAGGTTTGTTTCCTGTTAGAATGTGCTGCGTTAAAAATGGTCACCTCTGCATAGATTGTGGGGTCATAGCCGTTGAAAATGGGAACTTCGTAGCATTTTCAGAAGAGCGCTGCGGAAGTTCCTTCCCTAAGAAACCTTCGCAGCACTTTATCGGAACTTCCGCAGCTACTTGGGAGAATTTTGCAATTGATTTGGCGCAAATTCTCTAAAGGTCTTTCAGGACTTGCCAGCACTTCATCGATGTATAATTGTCTGATTTTTGTTCAAAAATATACATAAATCGATCGAACCAGATAGTTTTTCTACCTACCATATTTTTCCAAAAGAAAAGAAACATGTACCTGACACTTCAGTCCACCATCCCTTGGTGCAAAACTGAGCAAATCAACTGAGTTTAGCTGCAATCGAGCCATACAACCAGTGAAAGACGTTTCGATACCCTCGGAAAACTCGTCCGGAGGTCTGCCACCGACATGAATCTATAAAAAAATTAATTACAGAAATAGGAAGAACTTGTAAATTTAGTTGATATTTATTCTTCCTAAGTTAACAAGGCAATAAAGAAGCTTTCAGCTATTTATTAATAATTGGTCCCCAAAATCTAAATTTAGCCTTCTTTCTAAAAATGTTGTATAGCGTTCTTCGCATGACTGAAGTGCTCAAGAAATTCAATTTGCCTGATTTTCAAGTGCACTGCCGCGGTCAGAACAATTCTGGTGGTTTGCATAAAAACTAAACAACAGCGGTGTACTTCATCTCCTGGGTACGACCCTCTCGTACCGATTTTTTGTGCCCCCCCCCCCTCTCTCTTCCGATATGTTCCCCGTCTTACAACATGCTAAAGCTATCTAATGATACCTGCTAATCCGTCGTTGACCCAGTGCAAATAGTGGAGCAAGGGGGTCTGGCGGATATATTGGTAAGAACAATAAGAAGTACGACGGGAAGCATTGTTTGCTCGCGTTACTTGGCCCCCTATTGTCTAAGAGAAGCAATTACGCAATGGCTAACTTGTGTTAGCCATAGAGTGCATGGGATGCGAAGAAGTGCTCTGGTAAAGTAGAAAATTTGCAAAAAAGTTGGAGGCAAATTTAAAATTGTGAGGATTTTTGGGCATAAAATATTCGGGGTTGGATTTTGTGTGTCATATTGAACAGCAAAAAAAAATACTTTACTCAAATTGTGTCAAGTTCTTTATTGTTCAATCATGGTAATTGATTGTTACATTCACTAAGCTATTAATACAAAATTTTCCGTTTTATTTTTGACTATTTACAATTTTATTCAGAGATTGGAGACTTAAACCAGATGGGCTATATCATTATTATGCAATAAAGTAAAAGAATGTTATGGAGCAAAAAATGTAATTTTTTTGGTGCCCTCAGGTGGCAACTCTAATGGGATCATACCACGAAACTACTAGAAGTTTTGGCCCTCGAAAACTTGTAAGGAGGAAAAATTATACTTTTTTTTGGTTTTTCCCGGACCACCTAGATGGGCTCATGTCATGGAACTTTGAGGAAAAAACCTGACCACGATTTTGATTTAGCGATTTTTTATATTTTCTTGTACATGGTCAGTAAATTAGCGTTTCCATTGGTTGGAATGGAAGATTTATAAAAAAACTTTCTATGCAACATTGTTCCCGAAACGAAAGAGAGATTAAATGAACTACTGCAATAAAAGCTTATTCCTTTCAACCTCGTGTACTACATTGTGGTTCAATAATGTTTTCTTAACGGACGAGAAATCGACGTTATACAATTTTTACTTTTAAATTTCAATCGTACACAGTGAATAACTAGACTACCGTATCACGAAACTCTCTTCTGCCCCTTCCCCCCCCCCAAATAAGTTTTTCCACAGGTGACAAATAGCTGCTGCGATTGGTGACACTGGCAATTATGGGATGTGTTTCGAGACGTAAGAGGATTTTGATTGAAAGGCTTCTAATATGGTGCTATAATCCGCAGCTGCTAGATTATTTATGGTGGTGTATCAAGGATCGCTGCCAAAATGATCCTGTGAAAAATTGGAGACACAAATACGGGTTTTTTGGCAGAAAACTCAGTCTATTGTGTGAATGATTTGCGCGGAATGTTTCTTTCTTACTTGTTATTTTTCTCAAGTTCTCATTGCTTACGTGCCCCACACCCTTAGAAACTACAGAATAGAGGGGGGGGGGGAATGGGTGGAAGAGTTTTGATTGGTCTATGTGGGTTAAGAATTGGGCGGAAGTTGTGTCTATTCAAAGATTATTCATATAATCTCACAATTCAGCCTGATGAGGATTTCAAAATATATCAGGGGTCACAGAGCTGTGCAAAAAATGATGAGAACTTCTGAAAATTATTTCTCTGTTCAATTATATAAAAAGTTTGTCGCCCCCTCCCTCCAAGAAAAAAACCTGCAATAGCGTTGCTTTCAGTTCGAGTACTTCTTTAAGCTGTTTTTCATTCCATCCACAAACCACTCAAAAGACGACTATTTACACAAAAACGGTACTTCAAGCACTTGGCATATCACTTCCATCACTCCCTGATTGCCCCCAAGATTCACGCGCACTTCACTACGCGAGAGGGGGGGGGAGCTCCCAGTGGATTATCGCGTATCGCTCAAGCGCAAATATTTGCGCTCGAAAGCTTGCACACGTATTGTTGAGCGGATCACGTTGTCATTGTCCATGCCGTAGGATTGTTCGATCCCCCCCCCCCTATTGTCCGTAACAAGATGGAGATATCGACTATGCATACATATAGCGATATTTGAGCTATAGTTGGTTACAGTGGTATAGTGTAGAATTTCGTGAAAGGCCATGTCTGCGTCTTTTCCACTCAAACCATGTAGCTCAAGTTTCTGTGCAAATTCGCATCTGAACATACCTGATTGTGAAAGTCGAGCTTACGGTAGAGTCCTGTAGGTGTTGTCTGGTTTAGGACAACACCATCGATGGCTAGTTGAACGGAATCGAACTGATGTAGCCACCGCATCTCGTGCCATTTTCCATCGTCAAGAGCTCGACCGGCAGTAATATGGGACGGGGAGAGTGATCCTACAAGAATCAGTAAAATATAATTTTTTCTTGGAAAGTAAATTCGTAGCGTTGTACAGCGTGTTACAACACGCACTAGTTCAAAACTGTGTGGCGCGCTTACGCACTGTGAAAATCGTGGCAGGACCATGTCTGGTGTCTCCTCATTTCATCTATGTCTAGCTGGCAAAAGGCAGCGCTGGGCAACGGTTTCACAGTAAATACTTGGGCTGTCTCCCAGTTGAAACAGACAATATTTTTATTATTTCGTCTTTTATTTCTTCATTACCCAGACTACAAAGGCAAATCGTGACAGCAGTAAGTAAATTTCAATTTCATTGAAGGCTCTTTGGTTTTTACCGTTTGTTTCAAACACTCTCATTCAAAATTGTAGGAAGCATGGACACTCCGTAACGGTTGTATCATACCGTGGCAGGACCACGTCTGCGTTCTACTCATTTCTTTGATGTCTCGCGGCCAGCATGGCAGCGCTAAGAAGGGCGCGCAGCTCCACATGGATTACTCTGGGCTGTTTCCGGTCAAAATAAACGTTTTGGTTTTTTAACACCCATAAAAGCCATGGAGTCTGGGGGCCTGAACCCGACATATTTTTCGCTTTTCAATAATTTTTCTTATGAATTATTTAGCGACGCATAGCTTTATTCCGTAAATCAACCCATCTAAACTTACCAAAATCGAACATCACATGCACAGATCCATGTACGACTTGAGCAATGAGTATATCTCCCTGATCAGCCACCGAGAAGAACAACACCCCGGATCGGTAGGACCGAAAGATGATCGTCAGTTCATTCTCGTACATCGACACCAATCCAGCTTTATGTGTATCTACCATATATGAGCTATCGTCGAACACTGTTATGGGCGATTCTGGAACATCTCAGAATAGATTTTTTGGCACTTTTCCGTTATCCGGACCCATTTTTGCAAAGAAGGATACTCCTTCTTTCCCTGCACCATATTTGTTCCCAACTTCATAGGAAAGAGTGTCAACGTTTTGCCACGTGTCAAAAAAATTTGACATGCCACCTACATGTTTAACGAGTTTTACCAAGAGTTCGCGTTGCCCTACCTAGCGACATATGCTCAACCTTTTTTGGTCAATAATGACCCTATTTTCGATTAAACAATTTCAAAAATGACATTGTTATAATAATGTCGCCCTCTTATCAGTGAACATAGTAGACGTGCCCAGAATAGAGAAGTGCGCTAGGGTTCCATCACCTAAGCGGCGAAATGCAGCAGCGAGGTACTACTTCAAGCGATCATTTGTAGACTTTTCTGGCTAAATTCGCAGGGCGGAAAGTTTGAAGAGAAAAACATTCATGAATCATTGCTAGAAGCAATCAAGATATTCTAGTAATGGTTCTAGATTGTTTTGCTCTTATATAAATCAGCTGGAGAGCTTCTAATGGTTACAAATGCTCTTTTACCTCACCGGAAATAATTTCGAAAAAACGTGTCAAAGTGGACTAGAACGTGTCAATTTTTTCCTGACACGTGGCAGGGAGGCAGTCCTCGTAGAATCTATGAAAATTTGTACTTAGACTACCGAGCGTATTTTATAAGAGCTTTTTGAAAAAATGGGTCCGGATAATGGAAAAGTACCGATTTTTTAATCAAAAAAGCCCAGGGGTAAATTGACCTACCAGTCTCGCATACTGTAAGCATTAATAGTGGATTCCTAACGTCTGCCTCTTCAATTCCATAGGCATTCTTTATTCTCAACTTGGTTGCAACAAGGTCCACATGTGTCCAAGTTGGTACATGAGATAGTGTTGAATACACAACCTGAAATAGTGAAAAGTACAACCTTGAAACCGCAAATTTCAGTAAAATTTTCAGAGCCAGCAAAAATTGTTGGCAAGGGTTGTAATATTGTCACACCGCATTTTGTAGAAAGAAAGCTCTGATCTATAGCAAAAAATCCCTTCTTTCTAAAATAAGAACTTTAGTTCACGCTGGAGACCTGCTACTTTGAAAGTGAAGGGCTGTTTTTGAAAAAAAATCAGTAAACTATATTATTCAGGGCCAAGAATTCGAATTTTTTGAAAATCTACATAGTAACACTTTTTAAATACTTTTTGAGTGCATAATTTGTTTTTCATGCGATTGTATAAATCTGTTAAGAAAACCCAAAAAAGAAAAGTATATGTAAAAAGTTTCAACTTGGAAGTAATAAGCAAAATTTCATGCAGTCAAAATAGTTTATTATAATGAGTAAAACATAAATAGTAGGGAATTTTTCAAATTCCCGTGTGAGGGAAGTAGATCGATTCTATCAAACAAAATTTTTCTCACTGTATTTTTCTGGAAGCAAATGGCTTTCTTTTGAGTATGAAAGAGTGACTAAAACTAAAATTTTCTGCATTATTCTGGAAACGTTGAACTTTTTGTGGATCTTTCATAAGTCACTTTTCTAATGTTTTCAAATGGTACTATAATTCTTATAAAATTTTTCTGGTACAGCAAATAATCGAAAATCCAATAATAGCCTTGCATGGAATTGCTTAGATTATTTTTTTTTTGAATTTCTGTTTAACTCGCTTTTTATTTTTTTCATAATAGATAACTGAGTCTGATTGACCTAATGTTGGTCCCACAGAATACGATTGTTCCCTGTTTCATCTGCAAGTGCCTACTTCTGGAAAGTCTTTGGTCGCAAATACACCACTATCAAAGCCAAAGACCCCGTATTCTGCCCCATTTGTCGCGCAACTTCATCGCTCCCTTGTTGACGATTTTCACGTCGCTAATAGTAAAGCTATGTCCAGCGCATCCTGGCCTGGAGCCGAAAATCCTCCGACGGACTAAACTTCGACGGGAGTCGTGTGAAAATTCCAGCGCGGCCCATTAGCTAGCCCATTGCGAGAATCTGCGCGTCTTTAGCGGCCACTACGATTCGTTAAAATTCATGAGTACCGGTCAAATGAGGTGTAAATTTCCTTCATCAGCAAAATTTGCCCCCTCCCCCGCTTCACCTCATTCAAGGGCCTCTGCCAATTCCAGAGTGACGCGAAGAATGCGCGTTCATTTACCGTCAGCTTGTCAGAGCGGGGCCCTGTTATTTCATTTCGCAGATTTGCCTAATTGATGATCGTTGACGAGATGGCGAAGGGTTGTTGGCATGGCGGAGTGATTGGTGGGAATGAACGTAAAGTGCATGGGACCACAATACGTCTGGTAGGGTAGTGGGAAAAATAATTGAAATGGGGCAAGAGCAAAAATTTTTTTTTCAAAAAATAGAAAGCCGAATAATAATCGAAAATTTGAAATTCTCATGACAAAGTTCAGGCTTTATAATTGCTCAAGATACAGTGCATAATGTTGTTGCATTTTTTTAAAACTGTTTCTTATACATAAACAGAAACGGAGAAGTTTTTTTGAATGAAAAATTCGAGCAATTTCATTTCAGGACATTTTTGGCACGGAAAAGTATAGACAAATAATCTCCGCAGCTTTCCTCCTTCCCTCCCCCCCCCCCCTCCCCCTCCCCAGCATCAAATTTTATAACTTGAGATTGATAAAGAAACTAAGTTTTGGATATTCAATTTATAGTAAAATGTGCAATTGCAACAAATGCTTACGTGACCCGTTTTTTTATCGCCTATCAAATTTGGCCCCACAAAGAAACAGGGATTTTTTCGTCGAAAACAGATTTACTGCATAATTTTTGGAAGATTTTTTGGTATTGAAAGCTTTAAGTTTTTCAACTTTGTGTCTCAAATTTTTCGACTTCCACCTTCCCCCCCCCCCCTCCATACAAAATTTTATGCTCAAACGCCCCTAAAGTAGCTGTCTAGGAGCCTTTCATCTACTTTCCAATACGTTCTGCAGCCCGTTGCAATTATCTTTTTCTATCTAAGACAGCCACTGGACGTCTTACATTGCATTAAGAGGATTCTTCGAAACAGGAAAAATAATTCGAAAAAGCACGAAAAGAGAGAAATGATATTTTTGTAAAAATTTCCTTTGGAAATCGATCCCAAATCTCGCTGTGATTGCCAGAAATTTAGGGTTTGAAGAATATAAATTTTAAAAAATATTTGAAGCATAATATCATATATCATATATATAAAGTATTAGTAAAGTAGTAGCAAAATATTTAAGATCAAATTTTTGTTACAAATGCCCGAATTTGAAGGGTTACTGTCAGTTTTTGGAAAAGTGTTCCTCAAAAGTAAGTTATCAGTCTACCTCTCTTCCATTTTTTTGCGATCCCCCCCCCCTCCCAATCCCGTAATTGTCCCAAACCTTTGTTGACAAGTGGCTTTCACTGAAATTTCAGCGACTTCAGCTCGGCTGAGTCCATCAGAGTCAGCTGAGCTTATTTCCTGTGCCACATCCCGCGTGTTGAAAGCAACGGCTTTCGACTAAAAACGCCTAGAATCCCCCTCAAGCCCCTGACTGATTAATTCTTTCCCTTTTATGGGGCCCATATACCCAGAAGAACTCTGTAGCTACCACACTGAGCACTTAAGTAGAGTCCAATTTTAGCAAACGCTCTAGCAACAAAACGCGCTTGCACTTTTCCCGCCCGAGCTTGAAAAAGACGAAGTGGGCCCCCCGGGCTAGCGTAAATTTGTACGATTCGAGCACTCAATTCGCTTATGCCAATGTGCAAGAGTGCAAAATGCGTTGTTGACAAGTGGAAAAACGAGGGAGAAAAGCTTAAGAATTGGCGAACAATTGATCCCTTTTTAGCCCTTGAACAGCTACAAAGCTAAAGTGGCCTCAAGTGGTTTGAATGGTTTTTGAGAGTCGAGAAATTGGCCCCTTTAGGTACTCAATGGCATCAAATTATTTTGCACTAGTACAGTTTGTGAAGCAGGAAATTTTTGCGAAGTTTGAAAAATAACATCCAATTATTTTCGAACCTTCCAGAAGATTTTCTAAAAGTTTTTTTTCTGTTGCGGCATTTAACAAAGAAAAAATAACCAAAATATGTAAAATAATAAAAAATTGAATAATTTAAAAAGGATTAGATGTTTTTCAAAATATGTAAAATCTTTTTTTGCTGAAGTAAATTAAATTTCTTCAACAATTCTGTGAAATAATGACAAAATGTAATAGAAGTTTAACCTGAACAAATTAGTTTTTCTGGGAAAAGATTTTGATTCCAAATTATTTCTACAAAATCTACCAAATTTGAAAAAAACTTTTTTTGGAAAAGTTATCTGTAACTGTTACGAAAAAGGCTTGCGGAAACTCGGTTGTTTCCAAGCTAGATATAAATTTCAAAAAATTGTATATAAAATCTGCCCTATTTGCCTATATTTCACATTCGCAGATTCTGAAAAATTTCCTGTTTCAGAGTTTTGAGGATATTTGCCACTTTTAGTTGTTCCACGATAAAAGTAAGCTTTAAATCATATAACTGGAGAATTTTCTCAAAACCTTCATTCATTTTCTGAATAAAATTTTTGGGAAAATTTCCTGGTCCAGATGGAGATTGCGATAGATTTTGTTATCAAATGCCTCCATGCTAAAAGCAATTTCAGAAGGCTCATAGATTTTGTCCCAGATTCACCAATGAAAGCAAAAACTTTGAAAATTTTCCTGTTTCTCGCAGATCATATAAAACGATGAGGTGTGGACACAGCGATCGAATGATCTTGTTTGACCTCAGGTTATTTCACGATGAATTAGAAACACGTTGTATGTTCCGACCCCCTTTTTTTCTTCTTCTCCCCTCCCCCCATCCCTTCTTATCCCGTGCAATATATCAGCAGATTTTCCTCTCCGAGGAAACTGCAGCGCTGACGCAATCGTGGCCAATTATATGGAAAATGAGAAACATAATATACGAAAAAAAAAAAACGTCCGAAAACACTAACCATGGGATTGCCATTGTTCTGATAGACGGTGTCGAATTCATCGTCCGAAATGGAGATTTCGACAACATAAGCGGATATGTGGCCACTTATGGATATCCGTTGAATTCGTTTCAAACTTCCTAGTGTGGCTTCAGTTGCAGAAAACGACACATCCGAGCATTCTGTGAGCACTGAAAATGAAACAGTAAAAATTTTATTGAAATGTTATAGACGAAAAAAGTTTGAAAAAATTTTCTTAGATTTTGTTAAGCTAAAGAAAAAGGAAATTTCTTTATTTAATAAGCACTAAAAAGTTTGTGAATCGAATTGTAGTTTAAGAATTCATTAAAAATGAGTTTAAGCCAAATTTCTTGTTTAAGAAAATTAAAACACTGTGAAATGTAATATAATCGAACACTCACAAGAAATCTGATTACAAAGAAATTCTCTCAATCTAGCAAAATCCAAAATTATCAAAAATTGAATAACCTAATGTCTTTTGAAAATCTCAATTCAGTATTGAGAGATTATCAATAAAAATTTTCAAGTTTTTTTTCGATTTTCCATGGGATATTAGAATATAGTTTTCCACGATGTTTTATCTTCTAGTTTTTTAGATTTCCAAGTGAAAAAGCAAAATTTAAGAATATTTTGGATGTTCGAAGCAAGTATCATTTAACTTGGATTTAGACTTTCACTTTCCTTCCTAGACTTTCAAATTTTTTAAGTGTGAAGCTATCTTTTATCTCTTACAAGTTTTACTATTATGATACTTAGCTTTCGGTTGTAAAAGGAACTTTTAACCCAATGAAAGAGGCCAAAGTTCCAGACTTTTTGGTGTGCTTGGAGAAAGTTCAATCGATCCTTAACTTACAGATTTGAATTTGTAAAGAACAGACTAATTGTAACTTTTATAATTATTTAGTATTGTTTGCCACAAATTTCTATATAATAAAAGAGAACAAAGTCAGTACAATAATCATACCCAAACACTTTGTAAGAGATTCTTGAGAAACGGAGTTTTTAAAGAAATTTTCAGCTCCTTCTCCCCTCCATATCTTTTTCCCCAGCTTAAGGTAAAGGTACAGATACTGAAACTAAAGGTACCCAGAGTTCATGAATTGATAATGAGATTCTGCGTCATTTGCGTGCTCAGTGGTGTTTTTATTGCTTTAGCTAATAGCCTTGAAAGTTAGTCCACAAACGTCATTGTAGTTCGTTCCTATGCAGTGTCAGATTTCTCTGGATAATTGGAAGCTTATAAACTTGTCTTGAAAAATTTCTGTGGATTAATCGTTAGGTGGAGAACAGCAACAAGAAAAGCTTACTTGAATAACATGCCATGTTGAAATTCGATTCAAAGAGTGCAAAAAAAAGTTTGCCTGATAGCCAAGTAAATAAGAAACAACGATTAATTAAAGGTAGAAAAAATACAAATAAACACAAACAGCAATAAAAATGATGAGAAATTTATCATATCATAATTTTGACCTTGGCAGCCTTTTTATCTAATATATAATGAATTGCAAACTTATTTTGAAAATCTTCAAAAGCGGGAAATCGCGGCGATTCCCAAAGCGAATGCTCTTCCAAATAGCACCTTCAGATTACCGGCTCACTAGTTTTGTAAAAAAAACAAATTTTATTTTATACACGTTCCTTTTTTTCTTTTACCATATCCTCCCCCCCCCCCCCTTGAGCACATGAGCATTTGAGAACACCAAGGAATTTGTATCCAGCGCTGCAAGATTTATTTCTCGTTACATTTGTTCCCGTCAACGACCTCTTCAGAGTAAGAGCAATGGGCTTGTTCGAGGGCCTATTTGCACTTTTTTGCGCAAAAGTTTTGAGCATTCTTCAAAATTACGAAGTTGTACTTGTAAACTTAAGAATAAGGAGCGGAAGGGGGGGGGGGGGGGGAGGGAGGGGTTATTAAAGCTCATTGAGTTTCGTGCAAAATTGGTGTCACAATAGATTTGGAAAAAAATCGTGTTTATGTTTTTTAGATCATGCAAATAGTTTTTTCGTGCTCGAAATCTTGTAAAAAATCTAATATATAAAGAATCGTAACGCCAACTGCAAAAACATCAGATAGCTGGGAACCGCGGTGGGTCCCGAAGCGAAGCTATCAGATCTAGCACCTTTAGATTACTTGTTCACTAGTCGAGACTAGGATGCTAAAATTAGGGGGGGGGGAGGGTAAAGCTTACCTAATTTTGCAATAAACTTTTTTCTCACAAATCCTGGAGTTTATGCAGAAAAATCTTGAGTAACTGTGCATTTTTTGCAGTATCCTTTGATTTTTGCAAACAAATTTTTCTTTTCAGGTCTTGGTGAAAGAATTTTTAGAAAATAATTTTGAAATATTGCGAATATGATGTTTGGACTTCTAAGTGAAACCTCCCTAAAAAACCAAATTTTGAGACTAGTGCAGATAATCAATAAAGTGAAATTTCACTTTTTACGAAAAATAACTCCCTTATTCAATCATCTATAATTTTATATTAAATACAAAAGTCCGCCAAAAAATTTGAGAAAAAAAAGCATCGAAAAAGTATGCAAAGGTTATTCAAAAAAATCATACAAAAAATCGTAATATATTTTAACAATTAAATTACCAATTATACCAAGTATTTACAAAAAAATCGCTGTTTCAACATCCCCAAATTGCGGAGCTGATCATTCCTCTGCGCAAAAACGTCTTATCCAGCTATTCCATTTCCATTCGCATCTCCGCCTAATCCTTTCAGGACACATCGAGCTAAGCCTTCGACAGCCGATCGGCTTAATTCTGGCTTTACTTCTCCATCTCTTTCATCTTTTATCCGCGGGTTTTCCACGATCCCTCGCGTATCGGCACGTTTCATGCGAACTGGTGACAAATAACCTACGGATCTTGAAGGTTTTTTGACATGAATGAGAAATCTCATGGGAATTCTTTGGCGAGATATGCGGACATTTGACAAGCGCAATGGCGAACGTCGTTGACACAAAAGAAAATGCTGAATGTGGTGACGAATGCTGAGAGAAAAACGCTTGAAAAGTGTGTTTCGATGAAGAGCAGCGCAGAACAAATTGCATTTTCCTTGTTCCGTTGGAGGAAGGGGGGGGGGGGGAAGGAGAAAGTTGGAGAGAAGAGGAAAGGTAACGAAAGGGGAAGAAAACAGTTTTGAGAAGAGCCTGAAAGTAAGAATTTGAAAGATTATGCTTGGCCCTTGTAGATGTTCAAAAGACGTTGTTTCGCGTGAACGAAGGAGAAACCCGCCTTTTAGCGTCGCATCGTTATAGCTAATTCCACAGTCAGTATTTCATAATCACGGAAAAAAATTATACCTTATTTATTATAAATTATTATTAACTCAATTATTTATTAGGTTGTCCCATAAGTCTTTTCATATTCGGACCTTCAATTTGATATTTCTCAAGAACTAGGGCACCTAGTAAGCTGTAAATTTTTGACAGTAACTCTGAGTGAATAAGCTATATAATCGCCTATTTTCGGGGAACACAGAACTGATACAGGCAAAGTTTGAAAATTGAGCGTATTATTTTTTTCTTGGTTTCTAGCCATCAGAAAAATGCAGCAAGGCATACATAAATATCGGATGAGAAGATTATACGCATGAAAAAGTTGGAAATCCGCAGAGTTGTTTTGAACTGTGATATGACGATTTTCATTTTTTCGGAAATTCGGAATTTTTTTTTTGTTTTGACTGGGAACTTGAACGGATTGAGGTTTGTGCGAACTTTCAAAGGCCATCTTGTAGAGCTTGCTTTGGTCTGTCGAATGGTACCACGTATTCTATTAGAAGATCAAAAAGAACTGATTTATGTCGCTGAAAATTTAGGTATGAAAAGACTTATGGGACAACCTAATAGTTATTAAAATTATTAAAAATTATTATCAAATTATAAATTGAGAAGTTCTTGCGGTTATCTCCCACTCTACCTGGAAACTATGCCCATATACTGTATTCACTCACTGCAGATCGATCTCTTACTGTACACCTACCGTACCTCAACAGTCGTCGTAAAGAGGTTCAAAAAAGTTTCATGATCATTCCAATTTGGCGAATTTTACAGAACACGGCAGCGTGATTCACCTAGACGCGCCAAATAGTTTACTCTAATCGACGAATTCTTACCGTATCCCTACCGTACCCCCGACGTATTACAACAGCGTGACTATCAGTTGAAACTTGAGAGTTTTACTCATCCCAATGAAGGGATCGTATGGATGAAGCATCACCATGATCTGCATACATTTATAGCAAATTAACTTCATACTGTATACCTACCGTAACGCGGCAGATTACGGTAGCACTACATGAAGAACTGGAGGATTCTCTACTCATCTTAATAAAGCGAATTTCATGGTATGTTGCCCATATTAATCTATCTGGATATGGTGGTATGTGATGATTATTCACGGCGACTGATTTTTTACCGTATACCTACCGTACCCTGACGTACTAAAACAGTGCAACATATCTGGAAATTTGTCCAGACGCGCTGACTAAAAATCTTCTTTCCAGTGAGGAGAATAATTTACCAAAATAAAGCTGTATCTGTCGTGTTACTGTAGGTATACGGTAACCATGCCGAAGGGACAGATTCTCCTAAATCTTCTGCAGAAAAACTAGGAATGACTCTGCAATTTCAGTTTTCGGACATCACAACTACTGCCACTTTGCCTTCCCCCCCCCCCCCCCCCGCTTCCTCCCCTTAATAAGCCGATCATTCGCTGACCACTCAGCTAACCAAATTGTTATGATGATTTCGAGAGTGTCATCAGCGCGCTCTGATCCCAAGAGACCAAACAATTTAGTGCTCTGTGGAGCTATCAAGCTATAGCGACAGCGACCCATCGTTACGCATCGTTGCAATAAATTACACTGTTATTCAAACATCCGCAGGTGGTGTCGGTCACCGCCGCGGGACCGACGCGAGAGAATTAATAAATCTTCGTCATGACATGCTCCCAATGGGTGGCATGGTTCTGGTAAGCGGGTAAGTGTTTGGTCTAAATCACTCTCATTAGCCTGTATCTGACGTTCGTATCGAGGAATGAGTGGAAACTGACCGGAGCAGGTGCCGAATGATGAATGGTGATAGTGAAAATTATGGGGGGGGGGGGAAGGTTAAAAAAAACATTGTGTTGCTAGGTATATTGCAAGTAGCTATGCGCACTGGATGATATCTATAATATAAAGAATCGTAACGCCAATTCAAAAAACATCAGTTGGCGGGAACCGTAATGGTCCCGAAGCGCGCGGATGCTCTAGGACCGTCAGTATTATTGGTTCGCTAGTATTTCCTTATGAAAAAAAAGATCAAATAAATGCATCTTCGTTTTTACTCTGATAGCGAATTTTCGCGAAATTTACGATTTTCAAAAAATTTTTCATTAAAAACATGAACATTCGACTTCTAAACGTTTAAGCAGCTCCAACCAGGTAATTGTCGAGTTTTTTAAGAAGAAAGTGGAAGTTAACAATCCCGCCTTTCCTAGAAACTTGATATTATTTTCTTAAAACGGCAATTTTTTAGGGGAAAAAATAAGATATAAAAAAGAGGGCACGAAATGATGAAATTATTTCCGGACATAAACTGGTAAGATTACATAAATTGATGAGGTGAGGAGAGCCCTTACAAAAAATTGAAAAAAATAAAAACAGATGAAATAAAAAAAATCTGTAACAAATTTTTTGAAAAAAAAAATGGAAGCAAAGATTTTGTAGAAAGAAAAATTTCAAGTAGCATGAACGCGAAACTAAAGAGAAAAATTTTGCAAATTCAAGTTTTGGTCTTAATTTCGGCATCCACATCTGCAAACAAGATTAAAATTTTTACTAGTCAATATTATGCTAGAAAATTTTGTCATTGATAATTTATTTTTATGATATTGTTGCACTTCTCCTCTTTTTTTTTTGTATTTTGCCGAACCCCCAGAAAATCTCAGAAATTTCATCAAATTTCTTTCACGCACGTCTCCACTCGTTTTTCGTCGGCAAGAATCACATCAGCAGTGGCGCGCGCGACAACGACGGCTCTCGTCGAGAAAGAAATGAGATTTGCTGCCGGATTAGCAAAAGCGTTTTCCGCCACTCTTGACTATAACGAAGCGCACAAATTTACTTACTCAGCTCAGCTAATCGCTAACGTGACGCGAAAACAGCTTAGCTGAGGTACTCACTCTCTCGTGCCGTATGAGTGGTTAGTTACGTGCGGTGCGTAAAACCAGGGGGGGGGGGGGTAAAGAATTGCTTATTTGTGCAGACTAGGTGAGAAAATTACCAAGGAACTGACAACTCTCAAATTTGTTTTTTATCCAACAACCTCCA